GAAGCGACACATTCTTTTTTCATGCAAGGTAAATGACACAGCATAAACTCGGGGACAAAATACCACCCGCTATAAAAGCTTCCATGTTTTCATCATTCCAAGTTTGGGAATATGGAGTAGCACATTCTATTTACCACCGAGTCCCTACTTGCCCACTGGAGCCAAGATGACTTCCAGATTGCTCAAATGTTCGTGGCTCATGGGCATTTGCCGGAGACGCAGGACCTCGTGGCACCGCAAGGCAAGCTTCAGAGGGACGCCTTCCTTCCTGTGGGTGATGGCCGGGAGCGCATGGCCTGAGCCTCTGCTGGAGAGGCTTGACCCCAGACCTGGTTGGGCAGAATTGCAGCCCTGTGGGGCAGGGGCATGGGGCAGCCAGGGCGTGGGAGGCTCTGTATCGCTGAGGATGATGGGAGCCCAAACCCCTTGGGGGTTAAAGCCACCCACTTCCAGGGCCTTTCGCAGACACGAGCTCCCCTTGAGATGGCAGACGGGGAGGCCACCTGTCTGGGCTTGCCCCCCTTCTTGGCCCGGGGACCCCCTTGCTGTGGCTCCTCCGGGGGCCAGACGCAGCGGCACCGCCCCCTTCCCGCGTGCCAGGCCTGCCGCACCCGGCCCGGCCATCCCGAGGAGACCCAGCAGGCCTAGCAGCATTTTCCGGCGAGCTGCGGGGCCGCCCCTGCCCCGGGCACTGCGGACGTGCCTTGGCCCGAAGCCACAGCACCTGCCTGAGCCAGGCAGGCACTTCGCCTCCAGGAAGGGCAGCGGGCATGCGCTGACGGGGCAAGGCCACCGGCAGGGTGTGCACTCCTCGCGAGTATGCCCCCCCCCCCTAGGCCTGGCCCTCAGCGGTCCCGTCTGCAAGCCGAGACGCTCTCCCAGAGCGCTTCCCAGCCTGGGAAACAGCAGCCGTCCTCGCGCAAATCCAAGTGCTCCTTCCAAGCCCCTTCTGCCACCACGGCCTGCCCGGCGAGAGCCCGTCGCCCATCGCTTGAGTCACAGGGTGCGATCCGGGGCTGGAGGCAGAGCTGTTTCTCCTGAACTTTGACCGAACTTCCTGGGTGCCACGCCGTGGCAAAGGCGTAGCTGCTCCCAAGCTCGCCCTTTCCGGAGCAGCCTTTCCTCGCTCAGCAGCACTTTGGAGGGGGCGTTCAGAGAAGGGGACACATGCACACGATGCTTTTGGGGCCTGAACCCAGAAGGGGATTTCGAAGGAAACCAGACGGCTTGGGGATGGGCTTAGAACAAATCGGCTGCTAAACCAGTCACTCCTAAGAGGACGCAGGCTGCAACAGGCGGCGAGTCAGTTCAAGAAGAACCAGGAGTCTGACCTCAGCTTCACAGGTGCATGTCAGTTCAGACATGCAGGGATGGTACGGAAGGGGACGAGCTTGGCAAGCGCCTGGGAGATGCTGAAGAGAACAGGCCATGACTGTGAGACTCTGGGTGGAATGTTTGTGTGATCGGTGTACCTCCAGGCAACTGGATCAACTTCACCATGTGGGAAATTGCAACGTATCACTCAAATGCAACTTGGAAAGGATTGCATGTTCCCTTCCTCCAGGAGTCCACCTTTGGTATCACCAGAACCTCGAATGGCAAAATAAACACATCTTTATAGATCATTGACCCTTAAGGAAAGTTGGGTGGTTAAGACTGCAATCCTAGGCACACATTTCCAGTGAATGAATAAAGAAGCAAGCCATATGCACTACAAGACAATTTACTTCCTGGTAAACAGACATAACTTGGCATCACAACTCTCTCTTTGTTTGGAGCTGTGGAATAGAAAAGACTCACAGCTTTGTAGCTAAAAGGATTGCAAGCATTCCATTTTTTCTTCAAGTACTGGACATTTGGCTGAGGGTGCTGAACGTCATGCTTACAGGATACATTCATCGCATTTCCAGTGTGGCTATTATAGAAAATAAAGTTTGCTGTTTTCCAATAAAGTTGCGACTGCCTTTTCCTTAGTTTTGTTTGGAAGCACAGGAAGCTTCTGCCGGGGAGAAGCTGCACTCTTGCATGGCTTGGATAAGGCTCCTTACACCCCACGGTTGCTGCCGGACTCGAGCTAATTCCGTGCCCTGCACAGCTTCCAGGCACGTGGCAGTCGCAGTGAAAAGACCGGTTGTCTCTCTTCACAAGCACAGCTTTGTTGAGGCCATGCCTGCAGGTGTGGGCCCTGGCAGCCTTGACTGTTGTGCCCCCCCACACCCCCCCAAGCAAAGGCTTCCTTCAACCACCCCGCTCTGTGGGGCTTGGCATTTAGAACAAAGGCGAGCGAGAGGGTAAGCCGGGAAGAGGCGGAGAGCGCGGCGAAAGGGAAGGAGAGAGATCCTTTCATCAGGCTGGATTCCGCCCGAGGAGCGATGCTCGGGCCAAGCGCACAAGCCGAGGGCGCTGGGGCCGTCTCCTCTCATTGCCCCGGTTTGCACGCGGCTGCTCTCGTGCCCCGGACAGACTGTGTGTCGGGCACGCCAGAACCGGGCTCGGTGGATAAGGAAGCAGAGAAGTCCCAAGGCGCCCCCAACGCAATCCATGTGGGGCCCCGAAGGAGGACGGTGCCGCTGCACCAGCGCCACTTCGGAAGGCCCTGCAGCACGGCCCGCACCAGGCCGATTCAGCACTGTTGCCCCCTTCTTAAAGGAGTCAAGGTGCGCAGAAGGAAAGCGTCCCAGCTTGGACCGTGCTGCTCCACCCCACCGGGTGAACGGCGGCCTGCCCTCTCCACCCTCCCAGCTGGGGGCTCCCCGGACGTGCGGCGTTCCAGTGCCCCCAGCCAGGGTGGCTGCGAGAGCCTGGCTCACTCGCGACAGGCCCCAGGGCAGGCAGGGGAAGACCCCATCCCAGAGGGGGCCCCGGCTTCGTCACTGCTGGCCCGGCTCAAGAGCACCTCCTGTGCCCCATCAAGCCCCCCCAAACTGGCAAGGGGGAGCAGCCGCCGGCACCAAGGACGATTCCCGCTTTGCTCACTTCTACCGGGAAGGTCGTGCCGGACTGGCACGCTGGCAGCCCTGGCCATCTGCATGCAGCCCTGCCAAAAAAGTTCACGCTCTGCCAGAGGAATTTTGCATTATTATTATTAATTTTATTATTGAGGCAGGTTTTGTCCCACATACAACTGAGTCTTGTGGTTAAACAGGACAAAAATAAAACATAAAAAGACGGAGTTCAAATAAATATGCATTAAAAAGCTAGCCGGCATTTTCAAAAGCAGGAGTGCCCCCCCCCCACCCAGGGATAATTACAGCACACACATACGCTTTGGGGATGGGGGGGGGGACGGGGAGAGGAGCCCACGCGTCGGGAATGGCGGGTGGCCGGCGGCAGCTCCCCATCTGGGGGCGGTGGTGAAGAGGCAAGGGGCCGATCCGCGTGCTCAGGAGGTCGGCGGGGCTGCTCCCCCCCCCCGCCCGCCCCAGCCCGATTGTTAAAAAGACCATGGCTCATGGGAACTATCACACAGTGATAACGTCGTCGTGGCGACTTCAGCATCAGCCCTTTGGGTGTCCCTTGGGTTTCGTTTTTCCAATCGGGTTTCCTTTCACTATACAGCATATAAAAAAAGGGTTTACCGCAGGGAAGCGCCATTCAAACCTTGGCCGTAAAAATAAACCTTAGCCCAACGGAAGAGGGGAGGGGGGCTAAGCAGTTCCCGGTTTCCAGAAGCGTCTCCCAGCGCTGGCACAGCCGTTCCCCGACCTTCTTGACTGGTGCAGCAGGCAGCTGGGGCAGAGCCATCCAGAAGACTCCCCTGGCCACGGAGGGGTCCGTGAGACACAAGGACCACTCCAGCAGGAGGAGGGGAAGCCTGCGATTCTCCAGCTCCGGCCTCGGGCGGCCAGGTCCAGCCCAGTGCAGAAATGTTCTGGGAGGCGCTGGAGATGCCAGTGCGAAAGGGCAGTTGTTGCGTGGCTCAGTTGCCACGTCTCTAGGCTCCCTTTACCAGCAGCAGCAGCAAGATGCTGCAAGAGCTGCCCAGGCGGTGCAAGAGCGCATGGCCACGGCTGGGAGCCACGCGCGGGCCTGCAGGAAACGGCCACAGGCTCCCGAAGTTATTCACGTGACTCAGATCATGCCGGAGCGCTCCCACCCGCTTAGGGTGTGCATCCTTCCCTGAAGAGCCCCTCCCCATGAACGGGGGCCAGGTTTAATTACTCCCACCCCCATACACACACACACACACCCTCACAAGGGCATCCTCAAACTCACGTGCAAGGGTATTCCCAAATCTAGTACATTTTTTTAGTGTTTTTGGATTGCCAACTGCAAGGGTAAGTTACACAACAAATAGAAAAGAATTTAAAAAACAGTAGCAGACCTCCAAACATAAATTAACAGGAGAGCTGACCTCCGTATTAGCTCTAAAGTACTGGTCCCTTCCCTGCGTTCAGCCAGGACTTGCCCTGACCCCGTGCGCAACAGCTCTTTCCCAGACTCCGAATGTCCACAGTTCCCCACGTGTTGACTCGGATCCAGGATATCACGACAGAGTCGCTGCTTGGCAAAGCACACCTGCGGCCACAGGACCCCCCCCCCACCCCCCGACACACACATGCGGCTTGTGCTTCCAGAGTGAGGGGTGAGGTGGCGTCCGCTGCTTTCCAGTGGGGTTTGCAACGGCTCCCTTTCGTGGCTCCAGGCCTTGCGAAGTGATGGCCGCGTTCCGGCCAGGCTGCGGGCGGCAGGCGCGAGGGGTCCAACGGGAGGGAGTTTTATTGCTGAGATGGGACTGGGTTGGGGGAGGGGGCAATGGCTTTTTTAGGAAGGAAGAAAAGACCGGCGATTCTCCGGGGGTTTTGAATGAGCAAAGCAAACTGGAAAGCCGTGGCTCCCGGCAGGAATACATGCAAGCTCAAAAGCCAGCGCACTCCTGGGGGGCCTGGACCCTCGGAAGGAAAGGCGGACCTCTGGCTGACCCATGACAAGCCAGCACAGTCTCGGCCTGACCCAGCCCCGTGCACTGCCCACTTCCCCCCCCCCCCAAGGTCACCAGGAGCTAGCCCCACCTGGGATCCCTCCCCCTACTCACAGGCGGATCTCCCATTTAAGCAAAGCAGCCACAAGCAACGAGGGCGACGGCCCACCCCTGGCTCCCAGGCACCCGCAACGTGCCACCTCGAGCTCCCCGCTTCACTTACCTAGAGCTGCTTCTTTCCACTGCGCCTCCTCCTCCCTCTTACCTGCGGCCTCTTCCAGAGGGAGGATGCCAGTGCGGCCAGGGCCAGGGCAAGGGCTCCTGCTTCGTCCGGGGTATCTGGAAGCGGTCCTGGGGGGGCACCCTTCCCCACACCCCCCGTCCCCCCAGCTCACGCCTCCCCCGTTGCTCACACACATGGTAAGTGCTTTGACTGGGTGTACGTGCACCTGGACTTGGGGGCGGGAGGAGCAGGAGACAGAAGGACTGAAGGAAGCACGAGGGGGTGGTGGAGACACCTGGCAGGGCCCAGGCAGCCCAACCGTTGGCACCTTTTGCCCCAAGATGGGGTGCTGCTGACAGGCCGCGTGGGCACCCCTGCAGCTGCAAAGCGCTGGTGCTCGGGAATGGCCCGGGGAGGGCCGGCAGAGCTCCCCCGACTGCATCGCGGTCCTCCGGTGGCGTGGGCGAGGGAGCTCAGCCGGGAGGGGGCGGTCATGGTGGCCTGCGCTGGGTCTGGGCAGAGACGTTGCTGCTGCTGCTGCTGCTGCATTCAGTCTGCACAATGTTCTTATTCCGAGAGTCAAAAGCGCGAGGGAGAGCCCAGAACTCTCTGCTCGAGCCGGCCTGGAGGTTGGCCGGGGTCCCCCCCCACAGATCCCGTGCCGTGGCTCCCTCCTCCCCTGCCTGCAGTCCAGGAAAGTTTTTCCATTCCCTGAGCTGGGAAATAAAAACCAGGCGACCTTGAAATGAACGGAAAGTATTTCAGTGCTGGTGCAGGTTAGCCCCAAGGCCAGGGAAGCAGCTGCCCTTCCCCCTGGTCGATCGCCCCGGTCACCACGGTTGTCCAGCAGGGGTCAGTCCTGAGCTCAGACGGAGATGATGGAAGGTGCCCATGGCAAGGAGCGGAGTTGTTAGCACCACTGGCTGGGCCAGAGAAGGAGAAAAAAGCGACAGAGGAGTCCTGGGGACGCTCCTGGCGGGTGGGGAGAAAGACGAGACCGTGAGCGGCCCGCACGGAAGCAGGGCCCCCCCCAGAACCGCCCCTCCCTGCCCTGCCCTGCCAGGCCCGGCTCACCTGTGGGCCCGCCCTCCTTTCATACGAAGACCTTGGCGAGAGCGTCTGCCCCGGCGCTGGCGATCAGGGCCTTGCTGGGATGGAAGGCCACGTCGTGGATGGCCTCCTCGTGCTTCTTGCGGTGGGCTGTGATCTCCTGCGTGCACGTCTTGTTGTCCAGGTTCCACAGCCGGAGGGAGCAGTCGTGGCCTGGGAGAAGCAGAGCAGCATTTGCCTCCTCTGCCCGAAACCTAGGCGGGGCTTTTTGGCTGTACCTGCCTGCTGGAAGGGTGGGGAAGGGGAGCTGCACAGGGCTGCCAACAGGTGAGCAGAGCAGGGCAGACCAAAGCCAGACATGGGGCCGGCTGCCATGCCCTCTTGCCCCAGAGGCTTTGCCGCCGCACCCCCGGTTGGCCTCTGGGTGGGGCAGTGTGAGGGCTCAGCCGCAGCCGTGAGGCATCTGGGCTGCCGGATCCCAATGCCGAGGCTGCCGAAGTTCCGAATCAGCTGCAGCAAGGGCTTCAGGGCCCACGTGAAGCGACGTGCTGCAAGGGCAGGAAGGACTTACTTCCTGACATGAGGAAGACTCCGTTGGGATCTGCAGCAAGGCAGGTGACGGCATCCAGGTGAGCCACCATGGAGTGCATGGCTTTACCTGCACGGAGGAAGGAGAAGTCGTCAGTCTTGCACAGCTCCTGCTGCGGCTGCCAGTATTCTGGAGGAGACTCTTCAGGCCAGAGGAGTGGCTACCAACCTGGCCAGCTTTTGAAAAGCAGCTGCTCTTTGTAACGCCATGAAGGGGGCAAACATTAAGTGATAATCGTTCAGGCAAAAAATCTCAACTTCAAATAGAAGCTGATCGGATCTGAGCTAGCAGTGAATGACCAAGCAAAAGACCTTGGGCAGCACCGTGAAAATTGTGTGTGGCTGCAGCGAAAACGGCAAACCCCAGACCTCCTAGTCCTCGTGCTCTATCAGCATCGGAAGCCGGATGCCTCTGTGCACCAGCTGCTGTGGAACAGGGGTGGGCGGGTGCAGTTGCCCTCATGCCCAGCACGTGGGTTTCCTTGGGCAGCCACGTGACCAGGCTGCCGGGCCCCCCAGGCCGGTCCAGCCTCAGGGCTCCTCTGAGGCCCTGAAGCTCCCGGTTGGCCCCACCTCGCCAACTTGGCCCTACCTGTCCGATTGTCCAGGAAGCGGATCCCACGGTCATCGTGGGCTGTGATGGTGACTGGCTGGGTTGGGTGGCTCACAACCTGGTTGATCTGACTGGCCCCTGTGCGGAGGAGAGAGAGGCATTCAGAATCGGGACCCGGCAAAGGAGTCGCCTCACCCTGTGCTTTGGACGGGGGCAAGGATGCCGTGGCGACGGCTCTGCAAAGCAGCGGGGACTTGCACCCGGGGAACCTGGCCGGGAACGCTACACACGCGCCTTTGGTCTGCAGTGTTTGTAATGTATCGATTTCCAACTAAAACCTCAATTCAACTCAGCAGGCGGGTTTTTAAAAGGCACCTTTAGCCATCAGGGTCGCTGTGAAAGGGACGTTTCCCCTTCTTCATTCCCCCGGCAGGAACACCTCTCCTCCAGGGACACCGACCCTCCTGCCCCCTTGCCCCAGGAAAGGACGTGCTCTGCTTCAGAACTACCACTTCTGCTCATTTGCACATTTAAAGATTGACCAGCCAACTAACATGCTTTAAATGATTATGTTTTATTTAATGGAGCAACGAAAACCACACACAAGAGGCAGCAAATGCAGGAAATGACCAAGGGAGAAACAATGCTCAGAAGCGCCTAAATTTATTAAGGCCTGACTTGTTTTGAAAAGCAAAGTTTCCTTCCTTAGGGCATTTGGCAACCAGCAAAAGTAAACTCGCTTAGCTATCAGTCACGAGAAAATGCAGCCAGTTAATCTTACTGTCCAGACAAACTGTGGCTTCAACTTAATTCTTCAACAATATTGTCAAATATTTCATTATTTTATGTTTGTGATCCGCCCAGAACATCATGCTAGAAATAAAATTAAGGTTAATCAAACCAAACCAACATCAATCTGTACTTTACTCAGCTGGCTTCTTTTCACTAAGTGCAGTGTTTGGACGCTCCGGTTTGTCTGAAATGGAAACGGGAGCTTCCGATCATCTTCTTGTGACTGTGGAAGAATGTGAGGGGAGGGGGGCGCACGAGCTCGAGGGGGGGTCAGGTTCATTTCTGAAATGCTAAATGATTCAGACTTACACCTGAACAGGACTGTACACACACAGCACACCTGCGCATAAAAGGTGCATTTCCACTAGGGCAAGAAAGTGCGTCAAGCTCAGGTTGGCAGTTTCTTATTTTTCCTGTGCTGAGTTCGTTCCGAGTACTTCTGGCCGGCAATTTCACTGATTATGTGCATCTGAGCATGATTTTATGCATGCATGGATTTCTGCATCCATGTTTGTGCGCACTTTTGCATCAGGAGTGTGAGCAACATTCAGAGAGGCGCAAATACCCAGGGACACTTGCATCTGGTGCCACAAATGGGCTCAGGAAGGGCAAGGAACACGCTGGCATCGAAATGCAAGCTGAACAAATGAGTCCCTATTGTCAGTCTGAACTCTGTGCCAAACGCGAGTGCGGCATTTCCCCACCGCCTTCCAAAAATACTTACGGCACCATCCTGTGTGTCCTTCGGTAGAGAAGAGCCCCACAAGCCCCGGCCTTCCCTAGCCAACGGGCTCGCTGGAGAACGCCGGAAGCCACAGGACCCGTATCCATGCATGCATGCGCAGCACTGGGCCCCGGCCGTACCTCCCCTGAGCTGGAACACTTTGTGCAACCCGTGCCTCTCACTCCTGGAGCCTGGTCCTCCCAGGCCCCACGCCATGCAGCTCTACGCCCTTTCGCCTCTCAGCAAGACCCAGGCCTTCTGAGCATCCCCTTCTCCTGCCTCCCGCTCCTCCTTCGAGGCACTTCAGGGCACCCCCGCTCCGCTCTGTCGCTCTCTGGGAGTCTCTTCACATGGGGCATGAGCACGTGGTCTTGCAGTGGCATCTTGGCTCGCAGCCCGTCTGCTCTGCCTCCCTGCGTCACTGACGCTCCCTCACTCGTGTTACAGAAGCAAGCCAGCAGCTCCCCGACGCGCCCCCCCGCCCCCGCCCCCGCACCCAACTCACCACTGGCCGGTCTCGACTCCAGCGTCAGCACAGGGCAGGCGGCTTCCACGTCATAGAGCACCGCGCGGCCGGTCTGGAAGGCTGCCACGGCGTGTGCAGGGTTGGTGCTGGCGAATGTGATGGAGGTGGGGACCCCATTTTCTGCAGAGGAAGAGAGAGGGTGATGGAGGGGGCGCCTGGGGGCCAGCACGCCATGTCCCAGCAGTCGGGGGACAGCCAAGGCTGCTGTCGGCCCCGGCACACGCTCCTGCTTTCTGTGCCACTTGACTCTGGGGCGTCTCAACCACTCCCCGTTGCCTGTTCTCCTGCACCCACGGCTGCGCTCCGAGGCGGCATCACTGGGGCGCTCCTCCCGGCCTCCTTCGCCTGGCGCTTTGGCGGGCTTGCCGCCTCCCCTCCCCTCCCCTCCCCGAAAGACGCCTCTGCTTCCCACTGCAAAGCCAGGTGCCCAGCGGGGACTCCTGCAGCCTTCCGCATCCTGCTGCCCTCTATCCTCCAGCGGACGCAGCAGCCCAGCACATCTGGAGGGTGCCAGGTTGGGGAAAGCAGACTCCCCATTTCACATCTGGCAACTGTACGAGTCACTGTGATTCCTTTTTCCGCAGCAGAGAAACTGAACTTCTCTGAGGGAGATGCAGTGCAGTGTCAAAGAGCCGAGGCGTAGCAAGCCCTCAGCGGGATCTCGGGGCCCACCTCGGCCTACCTGGCCACCCGGCCAACCCGGGGCAGCCCCCTTCCACAGCCCAGCTCACCACTTTCCACGTTGTAGGTGCTGAGGCAGGAGGCGCTGCCGCTGCTGGCTGGGTCCCATATCCTCACGGTGCCGTCCGCGGAACAGGAAGCCAGGCGGTTCTTCGAGGGGCTGAATGCCAGGCCCCAGACAGCATCCGTGTGACCATCCAGGATGTTGCTGAGGACACTGGGATCTGCGGCAGAAATACAAATGGGGACCCAGCACTGCCAGCCCCCACCGGCGCTTTGCCCAGCACTCGCGGGGTCCAGACACCGACAGGATGCCGTTTGCTCAAGCTTAAAGCCGGGCCCAAGACAAACCTGGCACCCATCGTATTTATTCGGACATTCGCACCCAGCTTCTCAACACGTGTATACGCAAGGTGGGCCAATGGATTTGCCAGGAAGCGCCAGCCACTGCCTGACAGCAGCAGCACAAAAGCTGTCACGGGCCTTTTGGTACTGGGCGGGAGCTACAGGCCCGTGCAGGTGCCGGGGAGCCTTCCTGGAGTGGGCACTCCAGACACGAGGTGGGGTGCCCTCTCTCGAGGCACAGCAAGATGGCCAGCCAACCAGAGGAGAGGCCCCTAAGTTTGCCTCCAGGTCCACACAAATGGGCCAGACCCCATGCGTTCTGCCCTCGAACCCGCAGAAGGGCACGGGCGGGGGCTGCCACAGCCGTCATCCTCGCTGCCAGTGGCAAGTCACTGGCCCCATGACACCATTTCGTGCAGAAGCGGCCACCTGACAAAAGCTGAAGGGATGCGGCAACGCCCTTCCCGCTGAAAGGCAACTTGGCCCCAGTCCTGACTTCGTGTGCTGGGCCGAGCTGCCCACGGCTCCAGCCTCGGACTTGGGGTGACCGTGGCATTTGCCACTGGGTGAAAGAAGGCAAGGAACACAAGGGAAAAGCTGCGGCTGGACAGTCGGGTGCGCAGCTCGCTGTCCCTACCATAACCGTCGTAGGGGTCCATGTTGAGATCCGGGATCCTCCAGCAGCGGATCCGTGCGTCCGCTCCCCCACTGTAGCAGAATTCGCTGTTGCAGCCCATGGCGACGGAGAGCACCGGGCCCCTGGCAGGGTTCAACAACAGCAGGCACGTGAGGGGGTGGAAGGGGCACGAGGGGGCCCTGCTTTCCAGATGGGGGCCATTCCAGAGAGGGGGCGGGGTGGCTCTCGCGGCACGTTCCTGGGGATCCCGGGATGGCCCCGTGGAGTGGGCAGTGGTGGACAACCGCCCACTGCAAAGGAAAGGCCGCTGGGCCAGGTGCCCTAGACTGCCCTCTCAGCCACAGCGGGGCGAGAGGCAGGCAGGCCGGCCCAGCTGGGCTCATGCCGGGTCACCCAAGTGCACACCACAGCACACCCCCCCCCCCCTCTGCAGAAGCAATGCCCTGGAGTTCCTCAGCAGGCAGCTGGACGGAACAAGCTCCCAGGAAAGACGGCTGGAGGCTGCCGTGTTGCAGAACCGCATTTGTCCTTTTGGCACAAAGATGCTTCTGGAGCTCCCTTACGGAGAAAATCTTTCGCCTTGGCTCCTGAGGCCAGCCTCCCTTCAGGGAGGGTGGAGACTGATTGCCACAGGCTTGGGGGTGTAATCAATGAATGGCAAGCTACTAATCAGACGAGAATTACTGTGCTTCTACTGCCAAGAAAAGGGGAAAGGCACCTGTGGAATTTTCTTCCTCAGGTGCACAGATAACATGGCTGGTCTTGGGCGTGATCCACTCCGACATGGAGAGCTGGAGCGGGGCTCCCCTGCAGTGCTTCTGGCCACCAGGTGCTTTGGGCCAGCCCTGCATGCGGCTCACTCGAGTCTAGGGACAAAAGCCCGCTCCCCACATACACACCTGTGTGCCCGGAATGCATAGACTGGCTCCACATCCAAAGCCGCATTCCTGAAACAGCAGAGAAGAGGGAGGAGAGAGAAGAGGGCGTCAGGCGGGCGGCCTTGGCTACTGCCCGTTCGGGACCATTTGCCGCGGCGCCCCACCCGGGGGATCTGGTCGCTTCAGCCGGGTCCCCAGCACAGCACACACTTTCCATCCTCCGTGCTCAGCCTTTGGCGTGGCCAGAGAACACTGGAAAAGGCCCTTGCCCGGGAGCGCCTGGTGCCGGTCGCAGCGACAGCCCTGGCCTAGAGGGACCGACGTCCTCGCTTCGCACACGGCGGCTCGAGATTCCCTGCAGGATGCAGAGCAGGGACGCTGCATCCGAGGACGACATCACTGACCTTCGGGTCGGGCATGCGCTAGCAGAAAGCTGGGGGTTCTGGCATTCTTTGTGTTGCAGCTGCGTTCACCTTCTTTGGCTGGTTAAGTTATGCATGCTTTGCGACCTATTACACATTTATACGAGGTTCAAAAACACGGATCCCCCACCCCCAAGGGACTGTGGAGCTGCACTCTGTGAGACTGCCGCGCTCATCTGGTTAGTGGTCCAAAGCCCTCACAGAACTACGGCATCCCTCCGTGGGGAAGCACAGCGAGAGGAAGGTTCTCCCCGGCAGAAATGCCACTGGCTGGCTGAGCCGCCGGGTCCTTTCAGCAGCAGAGGCGGCCACTTGGCTATCGTGCACGGACAAGCTATGCAACTGCTTCCTCTCTCGTCACTCACTTTTTCGCAGCAACCGTCTTCTGGAGGTTCCACAGCTTAAGTGTACCATCTTCCGAGGCAGTGACCAGCGCAGACTCGGCGTGGTGGAACACCAGCGCCCGGATCCCGTCGTAATGGCTCCGGAGGGTGAACTTGGGGTTCCATGTCTTCTTAAAGGCATCCTTGCTGTCTGAGAGCTGGCAAAGAGGGTGCAGAGAAGAGAGAATGGCTTGGCTGGACTGTCCCCCCGCTCCAGCAGCGCTTCTCCTTCCCCTGCTAAGGTGCCACTGCCACTGGACGGGCAGGATGGAGCTCGAGAAGGCTGGGGAAGGGACGGTGGGGGCCGGCAAGAGCCCGGAGCTGCGCCTCCGCGGTACTCACATCGCAGCTCAGCTCGTTGTCATTGGTGACCGTCAGGTCGGCCAGGTCACCCAGACTGACCTCCCCTCCACCAATGGTGTCCATGATAAACACATCCGAAGAGAAGCCCAGCGACCCTGATGCGGAGAGGGAAGAGAAGATACGTTACGAGCCTGGCAACACACCGGCCAGAGGAAAGGGGAAAGGGAGTGGGGGAGTGTTCGAAAGAGACCCAGGAGGACACTCGGACAGCTGCAAGCGTAGAGGGTGAACCAAGCCTCACCTTCGTGCGACCTGGGCTGGCTGGAGAGGGCCGATGGCATGGATGGCTTAGGAGGAAGCCCATCAACGTCCCGGAGATCCGCAAGCATGCCTTGCAACTTCACCCGGCGGGTTTCTGCGAGAGAAAGGGGGAACTGCTGACATGGGAAAGCCAGCCTCCGGCAGCCGCAGATCAACAAAGATGGAAGCCATGGAGGCCGAGGGTGACAAAGGTTTCCAGTCACGCTGGCCGTACGTTGCTTCGCCTGCGCACACCGGTTGTTGGGAATGGGGTCAGGAGGGGTCCCTGCACCCGTGTCCTTTGGCTTGCCCTGCAGGGCTCTTCCAGCGCAGCGGTCATGGAGCAGCCCCGACACACAGCTGCCATAGGACAAATCTCTTAGGAGCGATGGTGCGCGTCTCATGGATCCTGGTGATTTATGGGGTGTTCAAGGAGAAACTCCTCCTTCACAGCCAGCTTGACAACTTTCCCCACCTGGCACCCTCTAAACGTGGTGCACAGCAACATCCGGGAGCCCCCAGCCAGCTTAGAGGGCGCCTGGCTGAGAAAGGCTTGGTTGAATAACGTATCCAGGACCGAGGAAGCCTGGCTTAGCGCCATGATTACCAAATGCATTGCCATCTCCGGCCCGCCGTGTGTCCCCAGAGCCCTCGCCGTTCTCCCCAGAGCCCAAGAAGTCGAACTCGCTCAGGGCATCCTCTGAGTCCTCATCATCATCTTCATCCTCCACTTCCGGGATCAGGGGCTTGTTGGTGAGCTGCTGAGAAGCACGCAGTCGTTAGAGCGCTGGCAGACAGAGAGGAACAGTCCCAGCATGGCAACAGGAAAATTTAAGTGTGAGCAGGCCAATCACTGAGCCTGTTGTGGGACGGGACGTGACGGGACGAGAGGGGCTGCGAGGACCCAGGTGCCTGTGTGTCAAAAAACGAACTAATGCCTCCATCTCTTTGCCCTCTTCCAGGAAGGGAGAAGGTACCTTTACTCGTTGTTTCTTGTGCTGCCGCTGCGTCTCAAGGGGCAGGCCTTCCAAGTCCTCCTCTTCATCACTGTCCTCTTCCTCACAACCCTGTAAGAAGGGGATCTTCTCCATCACTGCACTGCTGATCCGGTCCTTTGCCTCCTTCCCAGCATTCCTGCCAGCCAGAAAAGTAAGAATAGTTGACCAGGGAAGATCCAACTGGGGTCCATGGTATCCCAATGGAGGGGGGGTTCCCTAAGGATTTGAGAGAGGCAATGGAAATGTTATTCTTTGCCTTTTTAATCCCAAGAGAAGCTGGAAATAAATTAACTCCCCACCCTCTGTGGTTCCACCATCCTTTAATCGTCATCTGAGTACACCTGGATCCAACCTGACAACCCCAAGGTTCTACTGCCGTGCTCTTCTGGACCTTCCTGGTATGTCCCAAGCAAGACTGAGGGCAGCCTTCCCTGACCAGAAGTGCCTCACGCACGTTTTCTCTTTCCTCCACAGAGGTAAGAAAAGACTGGAGTAACATGATGCGAACATCTGGCAGCCCCATGCCTGTCTATGGATGCAGATTCAGTGCCACCTTCCCCGCAACTCTGTGGCGAACGCTGGTGCAGCCAGCACTAGCCAGTAAAACGAACAGCCAGCTCCACGGGGGAACTAACAGCAGAGGCGGCGGCGGCACGGGCTCCTCTTTGGAGCGGGCGTCATTCCTGCAGGAAGGCTGCCAAAGGCAGCAGTGGGCAAACAGGATGGGAAGAAGATGCCGGGAAGGTGACACGCACACAAGGAGAAGCCCCCCCTTGCCCCATGACTGAGGCCACGAACCTTTTGATCTGCTCCTCTATCTGCTTCACAAGGAGGGATTCGCCTCCATTCAGCCCGGCGGGCCCTGAGGTGGGCCCGGTCCCCAGGCCACTGGGTTCAGCGGCGCCATTCAACTCCACGGAGCAGCGGCCCAGCAGCGAGCGAACCCGCTTGGAACGCATGTCTAGGATCGTGTCTGTGTATCCCACTTCTTCGAGGTACCTGTGGGAGCCGGGTGCGAGCGAGTCTTCCGTTTAATGCAGTGAGCCAAGGGCAGCCCCCCAGCCAAACCTGTCCCGCGTGCGGCCACCAAGGAGGCCAGCCACTCAAGACTCCATGTGCCGAAGGACCTGCATGCCTTCCCCCGCCCCCCCCACCCCATCAGCCCGGGGAGTCCCTCTACTCACTGCCGGAGGAGCTGGCGCCCTTCTTTCCACATGAACTGATTGCTTTCCAGTGAAATTGGCTCAGCTGGCCCATTGGAGACTAGGCACAAAACAAGGAAAGGGATCCATCAGCCGCTCACCCTGCGACCAGGGAGCTCCCGGTGGCTGCGTGGGGCTGCCACCAGCCAGGACGCAGAGGGCAGGCGGCGACGCATTTCCAGAAACAGGCCTTACAGAAACAATGCCACCCTTCTCCTTAACATCAGCCCTTCTCCTTAACTCTGCGGAAGGGGCAGGCCGCCACTTGCTGGGCGGAAAGGCACTTTCTATGTGCTCAGAAGCACTCTGACAGCATCCTTGCTCTCTAGAAGGAATGATTGTTGGCTGCTAAGCATGGACGTAAATATGGTGGCAAGTATAAGAATGGGGAGTTCAGTATTTGCTTTTTTAAAAAGAGGGTCTTGACGAGGCCTGGAAAAGCATCTCAGGACCAAGAAGGTGGAATTCCCCAGCGCCTCAGAGTTCTGTGCTCATCCATGTGAAGGGATACAACTGCTTCTGGCCCACGGGGCCCAGTCTGTCTCCCTCTGGCAGGCATCAGCTCTCCCCCATCTCAGGTAGCTCCCCCACCTCCACCCGTGGACACACTGCTCCGGATCTTTGTTTTTTAATTTTCCCTTTATTTATTCAATGCCATCTGTGCCATGGCACTTTACCAAGCACAAGAGGATGCGCCCCCGGGGATCAAAGCAACAATCCTGCTTAAATGTATGAAGCCAGGGCCCATCCGATTCCCCAAAACCCACATTCCCGTCCTTCTGCCTTTCTTCTCATTGCAAAGTGGGAGTATAGCGCTGGCAAAATGCCAGCTCCAGTAAAATATTTATCGCCATGTATTTTTGGCATCCAAGGCAAATAACGAAAGCAAAGGAACAATTAAAAATAAAACGAACTCCAGAGACCAAGCTGTAAAACCTACTTAAACAAATGTAGCCATAGGAAAGCAATAAAACGCCATTAGACATTTGGAACAGTCTGAAAGGTAAGAGTGGGCAGCCAGAAATATTTTGAGGCAGGGTATCTTTTATCCGGAATACCCCCAGAAAAAAGGGTCTATGCCAGCTTCCCCCAACCTGGTGAGCTTCAGGTGTGCGGGACTGCAGCTCCCATAATCCCCAACCACCAGGTTGCCGGAGACTGCTCCGTGCTGGCAGAGGGCAGGGGACATCAGCTGGCGCCTGGGAGGCCGGCTGCTGGCTCCTGCTCATCGTTATAGGATGCTTCTTGCCACGTCACCCCAAAAGCAGCCCTCCTGGCAAAGGGGCACCACTGCTGGTGCCGGGAGTTCGCCACACTGCGGGCGAGCACGTCACGGCAGCAAGCACAATACCTGGTTCCAACATATCCGGTTTCTTTTCCCCCTGATTCAGTTCAGTGCCGAATTTCAATTTGTGGTACTTTGACCTGGAACAAGAAAAGAAACCTTAGCACTGGATACAGGAAACGAAGGCAGCTGTCACATCATCTTCACACGGGGTATGCTGCCAAGCACAAAATGGTGAAGCGACCAGCACCCCACCCCACTGGGGTGGCATGGGGGCAAGAGGGAAGGGCCTGGAAGGAGCCTCCCCACCACCCCAGCAGGGGGCTCCCCGCTCTCCCGAAACGCTGGCCTTGCCGAGGTGCCTGAGCAGCCATCCACGGAGCGTTTGACTCCCAGGTACGCACGCTTGCCCAGTCACCAAGCAGAGGGTGGACCGGAACGCAGCATGGCTCACCTCTCCTGCTTCAAAGCGTATTCTAGCATCTTTATCCTCCGCACAAGATCCGTCTTCAGGTTCTCCTGGCCCTTCCTTTCCCCCTGAAGAAAGGCGACTTGTGCCTGGAGGGTGCAAGATGCAACCGTCAGGGGCACGGGATTCAGGCAACACCCTCACACCCTCTCCTCCCCAGCCACCAATCCAGAAGAGGCACAATGAGCTGCAAACCTCTCCAGTAAAGTTCAGCACAAACGACTTTCATTAGCATATTATGGATTCTTAAAAACGTTTTCCCCCTGCCTGTGGACTCCCTTATCTCACTGGCTTAGCTGCTATGATGTCATGGGATTAGTGGGCGGCAATGCAACTGCTAAGAGAAGAGGAAAGAGGGTCAGGCTGAACGAAGAAAAATACCTGTGCTGCTGGGAGGCTTGGGAAGTAAGAGAGTTAAGAAGGCAAGAGGGGTGAGGAAATCACTCGCGCAGCATCTAGGCTCAAGGCAGAGAGCTGGCAGCATGAGGAGGGACAGGATTTTGCATGCCAAGCCAGAGGCGGAAGCTCCTTATTCATCACATACAGCGACTGACGGCACTGGACAACAAATGAGGAGACTCGGCTCCTTCCAAGTTTTCTTTCGGCAGGCCACAGATCGAAGTGAGACGCAGAGGCCCTGTTGTTGGCGTCATGGTCACCTGACAAGCATCCTTAAAACATTGTCGTGGGAGCCTGCTTGTGGCGACACAAGCACAAACCGGCCAGTAAACTGCCAGGAACATTCCCTATCAGATAAGTGAATACTGTATTCCGGCGCATCCCAGAAGAACAGGACTGACACGGCCTGAATAAGGAAAGAAGTTTGTGACGGGTGGCGACCTGCGGCACCCCACCGACGGGCAAAGTCCTGTTTACTCAGCTCCAGCAGCAGCTCTAGCATCTCATCACAAATTCACGCATAATACAGCAGGAGAATCCAGCTAAGCCTCGTAAGTGAAGGCGCTGAATGAGCTGCTGGTTACTGAGCCCTCTTGAAAAAGCAAGGCCGCTCTAACAATGCCATTATATGCACGACTGAACGCCAGAGGCCCAGGGAGACAGTCTCTGTTACAGTTGTGAGAGCATCACAAATGGAGCGCTGGTGATAGCGTATTTTCCAGAACTCCGGCCAGTTTGGAAGGAGGAATTTGTTGTTTCTGCTCCTCGGTGGCTTTCCCACCATTCGGTCTCCAAAGTGGCTCCGCTCACGGCCCACAGCGCATGAACTCCCCCACTTTCACTTCCGGGTTTCACAAGTGTTTGCACTGTTTAACACCATTCAATGGGAAGCTGCAGCGGGGCAAGGGACACCGGGGCACTCCGGAAAGTAAGATTCTCAGCTAGTCCTGCTACAAGAACCAACATACTGGATGGGCCCCTAGAGGAGCTCACAAGCAAGATACGGAGGTGGGCACTGAGCTGGGTTGTCTTTGGAATCTACAAAGCCAAGGTAGGCTGTTTCTGAACACTGCAGGGCTGTTTTAACCAATAATGACTAGCCGTCTAAACTGTTACTCTTATGGACCTATCTGACCTATCTTGAAAGCCACCCTCCCATTCAGGATGTAGTCAATCAGCCAAGTAAACTGAATGCAAATTCACTCATTCTATAGGACCTAAAGCTTTTGCCACTCAGCCCCTCCAGACAATTTGTAAATACCTCTTTTATGAACAAACAAACAATCCTGACTGAGCCTCCCGTGTTCTTTTGGTTGCAGACAATCTGTCGGTTCTTGAGAGAACCAGGAGTGGTTTGACAGAGACACACTTCCCTCTGTCCATATTGCGATTTCTGCACCACGCATTGCCTCTGGTAAAGCAAGTTTTTAACACAATACAGAATCTGGTTTACCAAAGGAATAAAAGGGGGATTTCTCACACATATCATGACCATTAAGCCCTCTGTCAAACTGCCTGTGGCTTTTAGGGAAAATACATAGCCTGTCGCCAGACTTAAGGTGATCTGCCAGTTTTGACTGCTGGCTCCCCACCATTTTGGAATCAACTTAAAATACAAATGCCTCCTGCCATCCCCATTCCCACGTGTTATTATGACAGGAAAAGACAGCTGCTTCCCAGACACCTGGGAAAAAAGCAGGTGTTGGTGTCCGTTCACACCTTCAAAACCCTTCCCCCAGGTTGTCCCTTGTGCTACTGAGCTATGATATTCACCCAGACCATCACAGGGACGGTAGAGACGTGATCCTTCCACATGCCTCCAATCACATTCTTTAAAATGCCAATTGTCTTCAGCCCTCAGTATTTGATTAATTGCTGTGAGCCACCCAGAGCGTTTCGGTTACTGGGTGTGTAGACATTAAATAAATAAGAAAAGCCTTGCTGGATTAGACCAAGTGCCTACCTTATCCAGCATTCTTTTCACCCAGTGCCAACCAGCTGCCCAAAAGATCCCACAAGCAGGATCTGAGTGCAAAAGCGCCCTCCACTAAAGTTCCTTGGCAGCTGGTGAATGGAGATACCTCTGATATGCAGGTAGTCCACTCCAGTGTCAGATCAATCCATGCCCCAAAGAGACCTCAGAATATTCCCCAACCACCAAAAGCACCAGTCACTACAGACCAGTGTCGCACATCTCTTTCTCCCCGTTTATGTGCTAACTACTAGGTAGCCAGGGAATGACTGGTCTGAATTTTCTTCTTAACCCTAAACACCCACTCTGAGCAAATTTCATTGAACTCAGTGGGGTGGTCCTGGTCTCTATTCTGGGAGGGCAAACAGAGTTCTGTGCCACATAATCCCAAACTGCCTTCAGTCTGAGGGCCCAGTACGTGGTCCCTCCCCAGAAGTCAGCTTCTGGTGCACTGATGCCCCTTATGCGCATTTCGTCCACTGAGCATGCATAATGTACAGTGGTGGAGACTGTTCTCCCTGCTGCACCCACCTAGCAGGACAGCTGTAAATACTCATGCAGATAAGCTTCTAGGTCTTCTGTGGAGGTCAGAGGACCTCTGCACCACACACACACACCAGCCAGCCCAGCCCTAGAAAAAGGGGGAGAGACCAGCAAAAGCAATCCTAATGCACACCTTTCCAAATAAGGCTGGGGGAATCCACTGCAAAATAAAGAAAGTAATCTCTCTCTAACAGTAGCAGCAATCTGCCTTTCAATTACAGGTACCCCTAGTGGGTTGCGGAGTGGAAGGTATGACTGCTCCCCGTAAGCTGCATTCCCCAGGGTGAGGGCCCCCCAGGTGTGCTGGAGCACCTCTGAGCAGCACCATGTTCGAGAAGGTGGAGTTCCAGAGTTATAGCACAAGCCCAGATGCGTTTTCTGCATGTGCTCCAATATAGGAGAAAAGAAATAATCTATTTCAGGATGCTAACTCTATTACTTAGATGCGGGAACTGGGTGGCCTTAGGAGTGTAGGAACATGCCTACACTGAGTTTTTTCAGCTCTGCCCGGAGATGCTGGGAGGCAAGGTTCTCCGCATGCGAGGCACATTTCTCCCCCTGCCATCCAAGCCATGCAGTGGAAGTCGCAGCCATCGCCGCTAAGATGCTTCCGGTGAAATCAGGCGCAAACCCCTGCAGGAACTGCCAGAGCAGCTTAGGCCAAAATTTCTGTGGGAGATGCAGGCGTCTTACTCGTTTTCACATACAGTTGCATCACCAGGATGGGGTGCAACAGGGATGATGCATCCCCCTTTCAAGGAAAGAGGTACATGTTAAAGTGGGGGGGGGGTTGCCTGTACCCCATGATAAACAACTGTGCCATCTGAAACAATGCCATGAGACTGGGCAGCATGAGAAAACTTTCAGGCGTATACCACCTCAGTCAAGGTGGGACAGGATGCCCAGGTATAACTTTCCCTTAATCTTGTTCAGGAGGAGAGGGAAGGAACGAGCCATGCCTTCCTGCCACTGCTGCAGGGTGGCACTGACCAGCTCCCCACAAATCACGTGTATTGAAGGAGGCATCAGCGACGTGCAGATACTCCTGGAATGAGAGCGATGCCCCCGTGGCCCTTGCACCAATCCAGCCGAAGGGGAGAGGGCGCCCTGGCCCGTGCCCTCCGACCGCACGTCGGGAAGGGGCGCCGGTGCCCGCGAGGATGGAAGAAGGGGCCGCATCCGCGCCGTTCCGGCACAGCCCCGGCCGCACTTGCGACGGGAACGCTCCCCGCACCTGCCGCGTCCGGGACCGGGACCGGGACCGGGCCACCCCTCCCGCCCGGCCTCCGTCGGGGGCGCTCGGTCTCTGAGGAGGGCGCAGGTAGGCCGCGCCGCCTCCCGGGGGCCCGCGTCGGGCGGGGGGGCGGCCCGAGCCGGCCGTCTCCGCCGGGGGTGCCTCGCCACCTGCCCCCACCCCACCCGCCAGTCCCGTCGGCCACCATTTCCCACCAAGATGGCGACGGCGACGGCGGGAGCCGCGGGAAGAAGCGGGCGCCCCGGCGCCGAGGCCCGCCCGCGCCGGTCCCGGTATGCTCCCCTCGCCCCGACCCCTCGCCCCAGGCCGGCCCGCACCTGCAGCTCGGCCCGCTCGGCCTCCCAGCGGCTCTTCTCGGCCTCGAAGCGCGCCCACTCGTGCTGGATGAAGTGCAGGATGCCCGGCAGGCTCAGCTCGCCGCGCCCGGGGGCGCCCTGCGTCGCCGTCCCCGTCCCCGGCGGCAGCGGCTGCGGCGGCGCGGGCGGCGGCGGCGCCTGGTCGCCTCCCGCGGCCAGGGCCTGGGCCTGGGCCGCCGCGGCCTGCTGGTGCAGCTGCTGGGCCCGCGCCGCCACCCGCTCGGCCTCCATGGGCGATCCCGTCGACGAGGGAGGCGGCGGCGGCGGCGGAGGCGGTGGCGGCGGCTGCTGCGGCGGCGGCTGTTGCCACATAGTGAGCTTACCGCGGGGGAAGCGGCCCCGGCCTGCGAGGGAGGCGGAGAGAGGACGTGCGGGGGGCACTTCCTGCCAAATAGTGAGCCAGCCAGGAAATGCGGCCTAAGACGGGACGGCGCCGCCGCCGCCGCCACTACTACTCCTCCTCTCTCCCGGCAGGAGCGCTAGAATGGCGAGGAGGAGTGGTCTCCATGGCAACGGGAGGCGAGGGCCGCATCCTCTCGCGGGAACCAGGGGGTGCCATGGCAACGGGGGGGAGTGCGGCACGCGCCGCTCCTTCCCCCTCGGTTGCTCCTCTCCCACCCCACGAACTTCAGCTGCTGTTCGAACGAAGGAGGGGTCTCCATGGCAACGGGGCCTTGCCTGGTAGGCGAGGTGGCGGGCCGGTCACTTAGCAACCCTCTCCATCCTTTCCTTGGCCTTCCCGGGACGGAGCTCCCCGAGACCCCCTTTGCGGTAGTCCATTAAAATAAGGCACAATGCACGAGACCGGGGGCTCGTGGAATTACGACGGGGCACACAAAATCATATCAGGCTGGAAAGGGGGACATAGAAGTGAGGTTGCCATGGTGACAAGCGAGAAGAGAAAGGAGGGAGGAGCAGGCGTTGCCATAGTAATGGAGCTCCCCTCTGTGTGGGGACATATCCCCCCCCCCGCATGTGATGGCAAGGATCAATTAAGAAATTCAGACTGGGCCTTAGCCTTAAGCAACAGCTGGAGTTCGCATAGTAATTGGCCGTCCCAAACCCTGTGTTGGCCCTTGGAGGAACAGTTTCAGGAGCTTGGTTTGCTCCTGGCTTGTGCCCCAGCACCTCTTTTCTCTGAATGAGCTATTCTGCCCATCTCTGATGGGAACAGAATGCGGGATGGCGTCACGTGCCTGCCCTGATCCAGCATGGCTCCTTTTGTGTACTTACTGGAAGTGTACAAAAGTGCGTGCAGCTCCATCCAGCCTAGTCCCCTGAAGGAGTGGGTGTTCGTCAGGCACAGGTGCGGCCCAGGGGCTCTCAGCTTTTGAAAACGGGAACAACTGTGGTTGTCCACAGGTCACCTCCGATTCCCTGGGACTCTCCTGCCAGCCCTCTGTGCTGCTGCTGCTGCTTTCACTTTGCCCGTCCTTCCTCACTGCTCTCCGCTATTTAGCATGGCAGCTGGTCCCCTGGTCACCGCTGCCTCAGTGCCTCATCAGGTGCACCAGATAACACAGTGTGCAAGTTGAGGATAGGTTGACCTATTCCATAATCTAACAAAGAAAATACAATCTCAGAGGGCAGAGGCAAGATGTGGCTTGGATGGGATCTTGACAAAAGAAACCATGTTAATGTAGAGCCAAAGAGGAGGGTTTGGAATGGGCTGGAAAGTGTTGCTGGTGATCAGCCTTGAATTCATACATTTTTTGTTAAATTTTCTTTTCAGCTGAGAGTTGCTTTTGGGAGAAGGAAGCATCTTGTGGATAGTTCTGGAATCCTTGGTCCTGTCTCTTCCAAAACAGGTAATCCTTATAACATAACCATATCTCACCATTCCTCTAAGGAGCTCAAATGACACAGGTGGTTCTTTTCCCACCCAATTCATCCTCACAAATAGCCTATTTATTTTTTAAAAAATCATTTTTTACTACTGTTAAGGGTGTAACCCTCCCAATAGGCAGAGAAAGAGTGACAAGTCCAAGACCACCTAGCAAGATTCATGGCTGAGGGGCAATTTGAACCAGCTCTCCTCTTTAATCCCTTGTCCAGCTCGATGCGCCATGCATCACCTTGGTCCTCACAGCAGCTGCCACCCACTGCTGTGCCACTCAGTGTTCGACTGGGGTTTGAAATGGGATGAATCGTTTGTAAATAATACAAGATGAGTACGTGGGATGAGTTCTGATGCTTCTTGGTTCATTGATTTGATGTTTATCACACCCTATTCCAAAGGACTCCAAGGCAAGTAACAGCACATCTAGGGCAACCATCTCATAAAATAACATCTTCAAAAAACTGCATGAATTAGGAATTTTTTAATTCATGTAGTATTTTAGTAGTATTTCTTAACCCTAACCCCAATTCTTAAGAATTACAAATACTCCATGAATTAAGAATTCAGTTAAGATCTTTTTAACTCTTCTGGCTTGCTTAGCCTCACATGTTGAAACTTCGCCCAAACATGACTAGTCCTTTATACTGTTGTTTCTCACACACCACTCCCCGCACATAGCCTCTACGATATGTGGCTCACTTTGTATTGTATTTCCAAGCCACCACAGGACCTGTGTTTTTTGTAATTGAATTGTGATTCAACATGGCTTGACAATGTTCTGCATCAAGAAAAGTACTTTATAAACACCAAAGTTTAATCCTATACATGTTTGGGCAGAGAAAGGTCTTGCAGCTCCCAGTGTTCTCCAGCCAGTCATGCTGTGGAATGCATCTTTAGACATCTCTCACTCACCCCTTTTTCTGTAAAGAACCTATGGCAGCATGCCTAATCTTTCTCCACCTCTTCCTCCCTAGTTTATCCCAACAACCCCCTGTTGTTGTTAAGCTGAGAGTTCATGACTGGCCCAGCATCACCCACTGAACTTGGCGGTTGAGTGGGGACTTGAACCTGTATCTTCCAAGTCCCAGTCCAGCACTTTACACGGGCTCTCGATTGTACCTTGGGTGTTTTTATTCTCATGTGCGGGAAAACGCCTGTTATGGTTGTGAACTTTTTAAGGAAGGAGGATTTGCAGTTTGCAAGGGCCATCTTGGTAGTGCACCTTCTTGTGCTGTATATTTTTTTCTCTGCCTCCTTTTTGGATCTGTGACAGTGGTCTGCATTATTTTGTCTCTGTCACAGATTTTGGCCTCCAAAAACAAACCCAAGGCCATTTTTGATAACAAAATAACTAAGAAAGATATAAAGCATATGCCTCAACTGTACATAGAGCAGTAGTTATGGAAAGACAATAATTAGGGCGACCGCTCCCAAATCAATGACAATAATGCAATTCCTAAAACTTGGAGCAGCCTAACAGGCAGAAGAGAACCATCGCAAAATGCCCGCCCAAAGCCATCTTAACAAAATGTTAACCAAATGTCGAAAGGCAGACAATGTCCAGGCTTCCCGGATCACACCTGGAAGAGGTTGGTGCTACCACCAAGAAAGCCCTGCATTTTGTCACCACCCACTGCGGTTCACGTGGCTAGGGAGTCTGAATCAAGGCCTCAAATGCTGAGAGGAGCATGCAGGCAAGCACTTATGCACCAGGCATGCTTGGAACATGGATTCTTCACCTGCAGTGGGAGACCGCAGGACCGCCAGCTCTCGGAGAAGACTCTTGGTGAAGAGCTGCTTGGGACTCGCTTCCTCCCAGGCAGGAGCTCAGTGATTCATGCAAGAACAGAGAAATGGGTTGCCGACAGAGTTTCAGCCACTGGGCAGCAGAGAAACTAATTATACAGACTAAAAAGAGAAACATTTGGGGTAAAATTGTGCCTGGTGGGAATGCGGCCGTCTCTAGAAGCTGGGGGGTGGGCTGGAAAAGTGTTTTCCTCTCCCGTGGCAGGATTATAAATTGTGCCGATATCTCACACCACAGTCACCCTCTTCCTCTTATTTGTCCTTTTTGGTAATCAGGTCAAATAAATTTGGATGGACGGGTCTGGACCTGTGAGACCCTCTGCGGGCCAAAGACCAGAGCCCTTCAGGAACCACCCTGTGCTCCCACGATGCGCATCTTCTTCTGCCAAGGCGTGCTTGCGGTTGCCTTTGTCATCAACCTGCTGATCCTCTACTACATTTCACAGCTTCAGCAGCGCATCTTGCACCTGCACAGGGACCGGGCGCAGCTTGGCTCCCGTCAGCCACTGGGGCTCCTGAGGCCTGGCGTGACCATCCTCATCAGGGAGTTTGAGGATTTTGAAAACTATGTTCCGGATGTGGTGAGGTCGTTTCTGAAGCAGAGCCCAGAGCTGCCCGTGGTGGTGGTGGCAGACCGCTTGCCGTACCCGCCATTGCTTCTGCCCCGTACTGCAAACATCCAGGTGGTGCTGCTCAGGCCAACCCCGGACCAGGCCGCTGTCGTATTCAGGCCCGAGAACTACGTGCGGACAGAACACGTGGCGCTGGTGCCAGATGGAGCGAAGGCGGATGCCACATCCCAGCTGGAGCGAATGCTGGAGGAGTTTAAGAGTAGCCAGGGAAAGGCCGAGATGGTTGCCGCGCCAGTGAACTCGCTGGCGCCCCTCCAGTGCTTGAACCTCAGGGTTAGCCTGAAGGAGTGGACGGCCGAGTACGCAGAAGCTCCTTCGCCCTCCAAGCTGTGTGCAGCCTTGAAGGGGCAGGCTGTCCTCCTCCTGCGCACCAAGGACCTCTTCAATCTCTCCATGCCCTTGGCCAAGCCCCTTCTGACCTCCCTCTTCGTCCAGACTTCCCTGCGAGGCTGGACCGTCCGCATCCTTGACATTTCCTTCCCGGCACTTCACCTGCCTCTGCTCACCTCTTCTCACAACCAGTGGAAGGCTGACAACCTTGACAAGTCCAACCGACAGCAGCTCTTTCGCGACTTCGGCATCAAGCGGGTGATCCTGGAGGACGGGAAGCAGCAGTGGTTTGGATGCAGTAAGGAGACGCCACGATGCTTCGGCACCATCCATGACGACACTCCGGAGTACCTCTACCAGAACCGCTGGACCCCACCTTGTTGCCTCAAAGCGCTGAGAGAAACGGCCAAGTACGTCATCAACATCCTGGAGACGTCTGGGGTGCGGTACTGGCTGGAAGGGGGAACGCTGCTTGGGGCGGCCCGTTACCAGGACATCATCCCGTGGGATTATGATGTTGACCTTGGCATCTACCTGGAGGATATCCCCAACTGTGAGCTGCTCAGGAATGCGGAGTCGGGCTCCATTGTGGATGAGAAGGGCTTTGTCTGGGAGAAGGCCATCGAGGGGGACTTCTACCGAGTGCAGTACAGCGAGCGCAACCACTTGCATGTTGACCTGTGGCCCTTCTACCCCAAGAACGGCTTGATGACCAAGGACACGTGGATGGACCACCGGCAGGACATCGAGTTCCCCGAGCATTTCCTGAAGCCGCTGGTTCCCATCCATTTTGCAGGCTTCATTGCCCTGGCGCCTAATGACTACCGGAGCTTCCTGGAGCTGAAGTTTGGAGAGGGCGTGATCGAAAACCCAGAGTATCCAAACCCAGCACTGAAGAGCATGAAGAAAGGAAACCGAATGGATGCCCACGAAGCTCCAAGCCTGACAGGGAGAGAATCTCAGAAATGAGATCTTTCCTTTCACGGAAAGGAGTTGCGTGCACACCATGCCGCTTACCGCTTCAGCGATTGGGCGGTATTAAAATTAATTAAATAAATACGTAAATAAGCAAGCGCCGTGTTTGCCATACAATCCGCTGCCAGTATCTCAGCATCTCTGCGAACCCAGGAGAGGGGGCTGCAGTGGTGAATGCATGCCAAGGTAACCACGTGGAATGCGTGTCCGAACGGCCTTGCTAGATCCGACCAGAGGCCCGCCTAGCCCGGCATCGTTTCCGGTGCCCCCAGCCATGCTCCCGAAAGGTTCATGAGCCGGGCACGAGGGGGGCGGCGTGTTTGCCCCCGGGGAGCCATGCCGCCGCTCAGGCTAGTTGCTGTCGTGCCAGTTTTCTGTTTGCAGGGAGCACTTTGCTTTAACACGGGGGAAGATTACCAATGTGAGCCCCCCCCCCCCGCCTTCACCGTCTGAAAGAGCACTTGATGGTTGTCACTTCAGTGTGTTGCGTGTGTAACTCCACATCTTTGCGTCTGTGAAGAGGGTCGGGCAGGAGGGAGCGCTGTCACCCTTGCAGCTGGCTGCCTTTTCCGCAAGCAGGAGGGGTTGCTCAGACATGTTTATTCCCGCGAATGAGTTTATTCCTTTGTAATTCTTGCTCTCCCCGCTCAGAAGCACTTTCCCCCGCCCTCAGAGGCAGCTCATGGGCCGGCAGGCTGCGCACGCATTTCCACGGTAACTCATTAATTGCCTTCTTCGAAGGAATGCAAGGTCATTTTAGCGGTCTGCCAGGAACGTGTCCGTACCGGGTGTCCTCTGGCAGGACAAAACCCTGATTGAACCCGGACCCTGCGAGGCGCACGGCCCGGCCTCTCCCTTACGCCCCTCATGCCACCCATTCAGTGGTGTGCCAGGATCCCAACCCTAAAACGCCTGGGGTATTGAGGCTGAAATGATTACGAAAAGCTCCTGCCTCCGTGGCCAGCTCCCTGCCCTGAGCCACACGAGCTGGCGCCCCAGGTGGCAGCCCCGCCTGGTGGGGAAGGGGTGTCCCCCGTGATGAGCCCCTGCACTCCAACGCACCTCACCACAGGTAGCCAACCAACAGGAAAGGAAGCATCTCCCGGGCGGCAAACGGGTCGCACTGGAAGGGAAGCGGGAATGTGCGTGACGGCTCGGTTCTGGAGCTGCAGCGGGATCCTTGGGCAGGGCCACTGCTTTGAGCACCAAGAGGCGCAGCCCCGCCGGCCCCTCTCCCTGCGGTCTGGTCGGGGCGCTCGCCAGCAGAGGGCAGCAGCGGTCGGCGGTGGATGCCTCCTCGAGAACAATGCCGAAAGTGGCACAGGGAACCCGGAGCCATCGCTGCCTGCCTGCTGGGCAGCAGTCCCCGCGTCCAAAATGCGCAGACCCAACTCCCAACGCGAGCGGTACCGTCTTGCACCTCCGTAGGAACTTTCCCTAATGCCCAGCGGATTGGAAACGCACACAGTGCGGCATCGGGAGGAGCCGGGAAGGGAGCTTGGGAGGGCTCTACTGGTCTTGGCGAGATTTCCTTCTGAGAAAACACGCTCAGGACCGGGCTACCCATAAATGAAATAACAGCTCGTGGAGATTGGTCTTGGGAGGCAGATGTTTTGCTGCCAACACATTTTGCAAGAAGCAGCGCTTCTCTTTCTGTACCATGTAGTTTAACTCAAGTTTCCGCCCAGCTCTCATTCAGCAGCTAGTGCAGCTTCCCAGTGAAGATGCACCCTAGAGCCACGCTCGCTGAATCCCGCTAGAACGCGTTTGCTATGCAGCTGCCTCCAGCCGTTGACAGCACTTTCAGTCTCATCCCAGGGGACTTGCATTCCGGAAAATGCACACAGAAAGCCCCTGGGAGAAGGGGGTGCATTGAGCCTTCTAGCCCAAGGCTGGTGGTGGCTTTCCCAGGCCTCAAGCAGGCCGTTCTCTGCCCTGCTGCCAAAGACCCTTGCACTGTAGCTGCTAGAGACCTTCCACGCACGGAAGAGCCAGGCCCCACGCCTTGCGGAGGGGGGCAGCACCCAAGCCTCTGCCCCAACGAGCTGCTGCATGCCGGGTTCCACAGCGCCTGCCTTCTCACACACAGACTGGGTGGGTTGCGTGCCAGGTGCTTCCTGGCACACCAAGGACAAGAGAACAAGCAGAGGCGCATCCCAGAGAACAGGAGGCTGCGCTCCCCCAAAGCCTTGTTTTTCTTGTGCACATCTTTGCTCAGGCGCAGCCTGGCGAGCGACCAGGCGCTGCCCCCGCATTGCTGCTCAGCTCAAGCACCGGCAGCTCGAGAAAGGTGTTGGGGCAGGCCAGGATTGGCAGCTTGGCCGGTGCTCACTTTGCGCCGTTTTCTTGTTGATTTGCTAGTCACGGGAGGGGAAAAGCCCAGGACCGCTTGCACCACGTGGCTGGATAGCCTGGCCAGCCCTTCAGCTCTCAGGATTTCAGCAGCCATTCCGCACTTCCAAAGCCACTGCTGCGGCTCCTGCGTGGGAAGCGTGATGTGCAGGGCCAGACTCCTCGTGGTGCCCACAGCCCTGCCTGAAATCCCGTTCGCTTTCCCGATTCCCACTGCTCCTTCTCCAGAAATCGCAGCTGTGCTTGCCTGGAGCGAAGATCAAAACCCAGGTACTCCAGATGGGATGATGCGGAGCCTGCGCCCACGAGCAGAGTTCTCCAGGGACACCGCTGCCGCAGGCACCGCCACTGCCGCTTCCTTCCCTCACCTGGAGCCCTGATCCCAACAGACATAAACCGGCGAGTTGCCTTGGCAATGGTTGTCAGGGGAACCGTTGGCACACACCTGCTTCACAACACTAAAACGTACCTTTGCAGAGATCCCGTTTCGTGGCAATGGCCTCCACACTGTGGACAGACATCCTTGTGTTGTTCTTGGCAAAGGGCAAGGAGCTGCACTGGTGGGAAGGCAAGGGACTCCCAGCTCTTCACCGGCACTGTGCAGACCTCCTGCTTCAGCTTAATATTTCCCATATTAAATACCATATAATCTGATCCACCAGCTGCGTCCCTACCTGGAGAATGACTGCCTGGCAACAGTGACACATGCATTGGTTACTTCCCAGTTGGATTTCTGTAATGCGCTCTACGTGGGGCTGCCCTTGAAGGCGGTCCGGATACTTCAGATGGTGCAAAACAAAGGGTTGTTCTCCTATAACCCCAGTCCTCCATCAGCTTCACTGGCTCCCCATCGAAGTCTGGGTCCAATTCAAGATGTTGGTTATCACCTATAAAGCCCTTAACGGCTTGGGGCCTGGTTATCTAAAGGCGCGCATATATGCCCGTCCGCCCTGAGATCAGTGGAGGAGGCCCTCCTCCGGGAGCCCTCCGTGAAGGATATTAGGAGGGCGAGTACTTGGAGGAGGGCCTTCTCTGCGGTGGCGCCCTACTTACGGAATGCGCTCCTCAGAGAGGTCCACCTGGTGTCGTCATTTGTCTTTTGGCACCAGGCCAAGACCTTTTAATTTAAAAGTTATTTTAATTGTTAACTGTTGATTATTTATGGGGTTTTATATTGTGCCGAGATGTCTCCGGGTTTTTAAGGTTAATTGTGAGTATAGTTGTTTTGTAAGCCGCCCCGAGGCTCTTTGCGAATGGGGCGGCATAGAAATGTTTAAAATAAATAAATAAATAAAATATATAGCACCTCATTCCCACAGGCTCCTGTGTGTGTGCTGCATGCATCTGGGAAAATGGCTGCTTAAGAGTGGAGTGTAACATCCCGTGCAGAATTTAACATTCAGAGAACTTCACAGCTTCCACAGTCAAAAAAGCAAGTTGCTAGCCCTCACTGCTATTCAGGAATCACAACCTAGAGAGAGAGGTGTGTGCAAATTGAACTTTCAGAGGTTGGGACAGAATTGTGCTCTGAGCCCCCCTATCTTTTTCCCCTACGGCTGGCAACTATTACAATTTTGGGGGAGTACCCCCAGTCTTGTATCCTTATTTTCCCTTCCTGACCACCACAAAGACTGCTCAGAAAGAAGGCCAGGATATGGTCCCAGGTGGGACAGCAGAATTTTCTTAGAGATGGATCCACCTTCAGACAACTGGCACTACCAGACTTTTTTGCTAAAGAAATTAAAACAAAAGATCTGGGATTACAGAGCTCTTTCATCAGTAACGTTTTAATCACGTGACACATTCAGGAATGGAAATCTCTTAAAAGAAATGTTTTTGTACTGGAATGAATTCTGTTTCATCATCATCATTAGAACGTAAAACAAAGCTCCCCTGCAGCGGATGCCAAGCTTACTTTTTTGAAATCATGCCTGCAAAGTCACTGTTACTGCCAAACCCCAGTGGATCCTTGGTGGCAAGCAATTGCCCACACCTCCTTCAAAGTCCAGCTCGAGGCCCTTCTAATGCAAAATCCTGCTAAACTGTACTGTAGATCCAGGCGGGAGATGCTGTGCCCAACTAATTTGTAGGAAATCAAGTGCAGAATCTACCTTTGCATTTCTGAAGTTTTAGTAGCTTGTTTTTTAAAAGGATCGCAACACATCTCCAGCAAAATGCTTCAGATGACGACAGACAGGCCAGGAACCCCTCCAGTCAGGCACGTTTCTAAATTTGCAAAAAAATCCAAGGCTATTCCAAGCTCAAAACTCTGGGCTGAGCATAGCACCCCCAGATCCATCTGGATTCCAGCCTAGAGACTCAAACACAGCAGGGGACAGAAGAATCAGACCTGCATCTTGAAGAGTCTTGCCTAAGGAAAGCTAGACAAGCGGACTTTGTTCCCAGCTCTCATCGTTCCAGAGACACTTGAAAAGATGACTTTGAATATTGTTTCCTCTCTACCCTCTGAAATACCTGTTGCAACATATTTTTTATTATTATTATTGTTATTATAACATATGCCAGAGCTTAGGGAAAATCAGACAGTGGTCAAAACTCGGTCGAGGGCTCACAGCAAAGTTACTACTGCAAGGTCATCGTCTTCCCATATGAAGCTGCTTCAGCACAAGACTGGAAAAACAGTGGAAAGCCGCGAGGGAGCACTGCCCATGGCTCTCTCGATTCGTAGAATAAAGGTGGTGTCATCCCTTCTCCCACCCCCAAGTTCTTGTGGAGAGAAAAACCGTGTGTGTCAAGTTCCAAAAATAAATAAAATCAAATCTCAGTGGGGCAAATGCGCTGCCACTTAAAAGATAACGCTGGAGGGCCATCCTGTTCGTTCATCCACACGGATACCCCACTTGGGAGAGCAAGAAGAGACTTGGCTTTTAGGCAACGGAAGAAGTTGGCTGCTGTGGCAGTCATGGAAGTTCCCGAGATCCTAAAAGATGGTGGGCGTTTTTAAGAAAATGTGAAAGGAAAGCATCTCTTCCCCCAGTCTGATGAACTGTTTGCTGTCTGTCAGAAGCACATAAGTTCTTGGATTTGAAGAGCATCTTCATGGAACCCACCTGGGCTTCATATCTTCCCCAAGCAAGTTATTTCTCTCCACTGCAGTAGCAAAGGCAGAACAGCAAATAGGAGTGCAGAGGTGGTCGTGGGAAGGACAGTGACAAAAATTGCCAGAGGAAAAAACCAAAGGCTTGTCCTTCTGCTCATTTGGTCCAAAGCACGTTGAGAAAAAAGGTGAAGCGGCAAAGACGGCGGGGCTCTGCTGGAGGAAAGGGAGTGTTTGAGACGCCTCCGCGGAAGCAACCATTTTTTGTACCGTGAATTAAAAAGGAGCTCAGCTTGGAAGGTGCCAGGTGGGCTGGACAGAGTAGCGTTTTGCTTGCTGCTAAAATCCTGCAGCCGCCACTGTGACCCCCTGTGGAGGAGGCCCTTTCTGGCTCAGAGGGAGTGACGTCCAGTCAGGACTGAGCGCCCAAGCACCTGTCACTAAAATATATTTTCAAGTCTAGGAGCACTGTGCGAAGTGTGAGCAACTGTACCTAAGAAAGTGGGAAGGGGTGTGCTTAGCAAAGTCTCACTGGAAAGGTTCCCCATCACAAAGCCGGCAGCCCCTTCCTAGGTGAAGGCTGAGTCTCAAAGGTTAGACACGAGGGCTACACTCAAACGTGGAACCCACAAGTTTTTAAAAAGTCTTCCAGAAAGTCCAGCTTCTTCCTTAGGCCTGTTACATCACGGATTCCTTTTCGCAAGAATTGATGCGCTCTAAAAGGGGGGGCCCATCTCTCTTGATCAGTGGGGACCCCTCCTCGATATGCGTTTCCTTACTGGGGTCCAGGGCGTTCCTCTTGACCTCCACCAACTCTTCCACCTCTACCTTGCCCATTGTTTTTTCAGTGTATACCTGCAGGAGTCCTGCACCGAAGGCGTCACCCTCAACGTTCAAGATGGTGCAGGTGCGGTCTCTGGAGAGAGAGGGAAAGCGGTGCTGACCAAGGATGCCAGAGGATGAGGCAGGCAGGCGCAGGGAAAGGGGCACCGGGGCATGGCTCTGGGGAGGCAGGGCGGGAGCTCGGCTGCCCCACCAGCCCTCTCGACCACCTGTCGCTCTCCCCTCCCCTCCCCATCCATTTGCTTTGCATGTTGAGCCTCTTCAGACTGTACGTCTGCAGACAAGGACGGCCTTTTTTGCTAATTAATTGCAAGCCACTCTGGGAGAGCTCTTGGGCTGAGGAACAGGATAAGAGCTCTCTCTTGGCTCTTGTCTTCTCCTGCATGTATTCAGATAAGCTGACTTTATAGCCACATGGGCAAACGGCCGCTTCCATGTTCAGAGAACCCGATGCTTGGGAGAACACAGGAGGCGAGGAGTGTGGTGCCCTGCTAGTGTGGAGGCATTTGCTGAGCGGCCACAGGGTGCTGGACCAATGAGCCTTGCTCCGATGCGGCAGGACTGGGCTTGCCGGGCCCTGGGTGCACATTCCACCCCCCCCCCCCCACAAACGAGAGGACAATGTGCCGAACTCCAGACTGGAAGCTCGGCTGCCTTAACCTCACTCCTGGCTCACCAGGGCCCCTTCATGCAGCCAGCACCCCCACCCACCCAGCAACCGGCCAGCCTGCTGAACAAGCCCAGGCGGTACACAGACCACCACCGAGTGTGGATCAGGCATCCGGGGAGCCCAGCGTGAAGGAGGCCTGCTGGCGAGCAGCCGGTCCTGCTTCCTGGCCTTTCCTGGGAGGGCTCGATAGAGAACTTTGTAGAGGGTGCCGCCTGCTCCCAGATTTGGGGGCCAACACAGAGCCTGCCCCCAGCCCAATGCCCCAAGGCCCCCTCTAGGTGATGTTCCACACGGGCTTCTGCATTCCTGCCTCCCGCGCTGGAGTCGCTTGTCCCGCAGACCCTTTTTCAGCCTGCAGCACAATGCCCAGCAGATTGGGGCGGGGAGCTAGCAGGGCTTGGAGCTGCGGAAGCGTCTGTCGCATTTGACCCCAGGCGCGTGGCGCCAACTTGCCCCCTGAAACTTACACAAGCCAGTCCACTGCCAAGATCAGGGAGATGTCATTGGTGGGCAGCCCGACAGCTTCCAAGATGATGGCAAGGGTGAGGACGCCGCCCGCAGGAATCCCAGCCGCCCCGACGCTGGACGCCGTCGCGGTGATGCTGTGGGTGGAAGCACTCGGTGGTCAGAGGGGGCTGCGCAAGCTCCCAGCTCACTCCGAAAGAGGCTCGGATTCACTGCGCATGCCAGCGGTGACGAAGGCCCTAGGCGGACCTCCTATTTTAACAATGTTGGTGGGTCCATGAGGGAGGTCGCCACTCGAGCCACCAGAGAAAGCAGTCTCCAGCTGGAAGCTCTTTCTCCAGGCTACAGAGCCAACGCTCGGGGTTGGGGGACAAGCCCCCTGCCGGGCCTCTTCACAGACTAGAGCTCCGGTTTTCTACACCCAACGGCAACTTCGTGGCCGGGTTTGTGCACCTCTGCCGTAGGGTCCCCCAGTTTTACTTAATTAGACTGTAACTCAGTGTTGAGATGTGCAACGTTTCACACCCCCCAGCTGGCCAGGCTGAACAGCTGCGCAAATGCATCCTGACAGGGCTCCAAACAGCGACTTCAGAAGCTGTGCGATCTTCCTTGCCCCAGGAACACCCCCCCCCCACTGAACCATCTGTTGAAGCCAAGAGCTGCTTCCCAGTCCTTTGCCATGCCACAGGGGATGCTGGGATACTACGCGCTGCTTTATTGCCCCCCTCCACTCCTCGGAGTCTGCAAGAGCACCTCCTGCCTGCAGCTCAAACGGAATGTGCTCCCGGGGAAGGCAGGGCTGGATTGCCGGAAGGGCAGCTGCACTTTCAACCCCAGACAGATGCGCAAACATGGAGGGGGGGTGAGTGGCTTGGGGCAAATCCGCCCCAGGCAGAGGCCACCAGCAGCCCCTCCCCACCCAATTCTGGAAGCGCAATCTGGCAACGCACTTTTGTGTCTATGCAATCTCTTGTCAAGAGGACTCGGCTGAGGTTGATGATTAAGCCCCTGAGACCAGGAGGAACCGGCCGATGCCCTGGGACGGAGAAATATTTCACTCAGAAATGCCTCTGCTCTGCATTTTTCTGTTTTATTTTAGAAAAACAACCACACTCCTGTGCCAAGGCAAGTCCGTCACCGCTCCTTGGCCAGACTAGTTTCTATCCTCCCTTTTGGTCCCAAGGCGATGCTAGAGCTGTGAAGGTGAAGCATTAGAGGAGAAAAGAACCCAAGGAGGCAGTTCCACGCAGGGGGCACGTCCAGAGGCGCTGGAGTCACGCTCGGCACTCAGTTTAGTGCTCGGGAGTTCGAGTCCGCTCGACAAGTCTCCCCAGGCAGGAGGGCCAAGGGCCTTCCCCGAAAAAGTGAGATGCTCAGCACTGGGCCGGCTGCCAGGTCCTTCTCCAGGCAGCGGGGGAACGGAGCCCTTCCCGATCCACCAGCAGCCCACCTCTGCAATTTCTACAGAATTCCAGTCATGCTGAGGAGGTCTAGGGAATCTTTGACATGCAGCCGCCTGGCCTACAATTGTAGTTGTGTTTACTCATCTGCAGGACCTGGGTCATTATGTGGCAGTAAACGGCAAGCAGTGGGACGTGCAGGCAGAAGTAAGGTGCAGGGGGACTTTCCGAAAGAGGTGAGACAAAGTAAACATTTGCAGGAGTCTCGGAAGGGAATCTGACCATCCGGTATCAAACCCTGAACACAACCAGAGTTTTGTGCAGGGTGCAAAGCTTGCCGCCCTGTCTCAGTTTTGTTCCAAAGAGATAAAGGCAAATGTTTCGCCCTGGGAGAGACCCAGAAAGCTGCTGTGGAGGCAGCCTGCTGAGCCCAGCCCAGGCACCAAGCGACAGCCACAGGCGGTCTTTTTCAAAGGCCCCCACATTAACCACTTCAGCCATTTGCTCTGAACTGTTTCGCACAAGACATTTTTAAAGTTCTCCTCTTCTCCGTCCCTCCTGCATGGCCCAAACTGACCTCTTGGAAGGCATCTTCCCTCTGCTCTGACAGCCTCACGATCCCACGTCCCCCGAGAGAACTGCGTCTTGCTGAAGCTCTAACCAGTTTTATCCTGCCAAAGCAGGGCTCTGCCAGGGCCAACAGGCGCACGCAGCGGCACTGCCGGGTGGTAAGGCAGGAGCAGACCGGATGCACCAGGAAACGGGGGCCTGCGAGCCGCAGGACGGTGGCCTGCCCACAGCAAACAGCGTGGTTTTGGCAGTCCCAGCCGGAGCAGTTTTACGGCCCGGAGGCATCCAACGCTCCGTACCAAGCAGCTCCCCACAGGGCTGGAAACATTTTCCACCAGCAGCCCGTTTCTGCTTGGTTCTGAAGACCCGAGAAAACTGCCAGCCAGCCGCCCTTGTGCAACAGGCAGACTGGCACGAACGGCCTCTCCCCGAGGATGAGTGGATGGTCCAGAGAGCACCGGCCAGGAGAGTGAGTTGGCGGGCACATCCTGTGCGTGCTGGGAGCAGTGGGGCAGAAACGCTTCCTGCGCACAAGTCAAATTCCATCTTGGACAACCTCTCAGAGGCTGCAACCCGCGAAAGGGGACACAGACGCCCATGGGTTTCGGCATAAGGCCAGTAACGAAGCCTCAAGAGGAACTCCAGGTTTCGGAATGGCGGCTAGGCAGGTCTTTTGATGCATCGATCAGTGGCGAGGGGAAGGGGCACGGTCTTCTGTGGAACCCCAGGGGGGCGTGCCGAGACCCCCAGAGAGCCAGATGGGGGGGCAGCCTTGCCGTGCTGTGCCTCTGCTTTCTGGCACAATCCCCTTCCCATTTAGGCAGGGACACCTGCCTACAGTTCTCCTCCTGGGAGCTGCAGGCAGGCTGTTTTTCCTGTCTATCAACGCGCACCGCTGTAGAAATGAAGGGTGCCAGTGCTGAGCCACGCAGAAAGGGACCACGCGGGGCCCGCTGCACTTCCAGGTGAGCAGGCGTGTTGGCCAGCCTGGCATGGCCCTCGTGAGCCACTAGCCATGACTGCTGGGCCGTGGCTTGCTGGGGAAGGCACGTGGATTGTGCCTGCTGCAAGCACTTTCCCCCCCCCCCCCCGCAAACAAAGCCCTTTGTAAAAATCAGAGGCAGGAAAAGGCCTGAATACTCACAGGATAGTGATGACCTGGATGAAGTTGAGAGGAAAATTTTTGAGCTGGGCGATGAAGACGGTGGCCACACACTGGAAGAGGGCGGCCCCGTCCATGTTGACGGTGGCCCCGATGGGCAAAATGAAGCGGCTGATGTGCTTGGAGACGCCGTTGTTCTCCTCGACACACTTCATCATCAGAGGCAGCGTGGCAGAGCTGCATGGAGGAGGCAGGAGGAGGTCACCACACCGTCCGGGAGCGCTCCCAACCCAGACCACACGCGTCACAGAAGGTGCCCGCCACAGGCTGGGCCTGGACACCCAGGCACCTGCCCTCGGACACTCGCTTCTGCCTTCTGAGGCAGCACCCCTCTCTTCCCTGTCGCTCTCAAGATGCAGCCAGTGAGTAAGCAGAATATTTGCATTAATTTTACACCGGCTTTATGATAATTTCCTAGCCCTTAAAATCAGCCTGTCCATTTCTACAGTAGCATAAAGGAAGGGCCTTCTCTGTGGTGGCACCCAGGCTGAGCGATCGATGTCCCGTCTCTTTTCTGTGCCTTGAGGCACTGATTAAAAACCAAGACGGTTCTAACAGACTTCCCGGTGGATTAATCCTAATGAACTGATTACTGCCATGACATTAGTTTTTAGCAGGAGACAGCTGTGTTCTTGCCACACACTGTGAATAAGTCCACACCAACCACACAGCTCCTCCACTCTTGGACCATGCAGCAGAAGTCCTTATAAACCCACCCCTTCCTGGCTTCCTGCAGCACCGCTAGCCTTTTCCGTACCTGGAGGAGGTGCCGAAGGCGGTGGCCAAGGCTGTGAAGATGCCCCACAGGAACCGGTACGGATTCCGGCGCGTGAAGATGAAATAGATGGCCGGCAAGACAACCAGGCCATGGATGGCGTGGCCCACCAGGCAGCAGCAGATGTACTTCCCCAGGCTGGAGAAAAGGGACAAGACGTCCTCCATCTCCACAATCTTACCAGCGACCAGGAACATGATACCCAGGGGGGCGTACCTAGGGGATAGAAGACGACTCTCAGCAAAGCAGGGCAGCGGGATCACAAGCAAGGGTAGGCTGGAGCACGCCGGTCTCGGCTCCTTCTCTGCAAAGCTGCAGGCGCAGAATAAGTGCAGCATGGGTGGGCAGTGTGGGATAGTGGTTAGAGCACGAGACCCAAAGCAGGTCCAGATCGCCATTTAGCTAAAACCCTTGTCAGCAGCTCTCACAGCCTAACCGGTCCCCCCTCAGGTTGTTGGGAGGACAAAGGCATCAGCCCCCAAACTTTTTCCAATTGTGACTGTGGGCAATCCGTAGCCACATTTCAGAAGTCAGGAAGAAGCGCTGCTTGCCGGGGTAGGGCTCGAACGGTCCTCCCCGTGCACAGCGAAACCAGGACAAACAAGCCATAGAGCAGGAAGCGATGGGCCTGATCCACATCACTCAATTTCTGCCTGCACCTACTGCAGAAATGCGGACGAAAAATAAATGGGCACACACGGAGCCCTGGCCGCCTGCTCAGGGGGGTGCACAAAGTGACCCAAATCCTTGAGGCTGCCTGCCAGCCCAGCTGTCTCGTTTGGGGCCTCCGTCCCGGCCAGCCTTCAGAGCGGCGGAGCAGGCGGGCTGCTTACCACATGATCCAGGAGACCAGCACCATGGTGGCTTCGTTGAAGGAGTTGAAAAACTTGATCAGGTTCTCCCCCTCGGCCCCAAGTTTCCGCAGCGCGATCCCGAGGACAATGGCGAAGACGACCAGCCCCAAGATGTTCATCCCTTCCTCCTCCTTGCCGACCGGGACCTGAGGAAACAGAGGTGGACGGATCAGCACCGCGCAGGCATGCCAAGTGTCCAGAGGCGGCGGAAGGCTTCCTACCCTCCAGGCCATGAGATCCCATGAACCGTGAAACGACCGTTTGCCACCTGGTACAGGTACGCCACCATCGGAAGCGCCCTGCTGCGTTTCTGCTGGCGTGGTGCCCAGCATCTCTTGCTCGGCCCGCTTTCCTCACCCACTGATCCCAGGCCTCGTAAGATCACGCTCATCTGCTGCTTGAGTCACTTTTAATGACCTGTTTAATGGGCTGCGTTTTAAAAGAACCTCTTTCAGCATTTCAGCTGTTTGGAGTTCTCGCTTCTGCACATATGGATGACTGTTGCTGTGCTTCAAATTCGTGTTTCAAGCCCCTCGCGGAGGGCATCACTCAGCCTGTGGCACCTCCGATTGAGGCCAACAGCCCAAGCTGCGGCCTCACCCACAGGCAGTGCCATTGCTGTACCCTTGCGTGACAACTCCCTGGGCCACGGGAGAGACCCAGGAAGTGCTTTTCAGAAGGGAATGCGCCTGCAGAGCCTGGCAGGAGGTTGGCCCCAGGCCAAGACGCAGCATGGGGCAGCAGAAAGTCGTGGGCCAAGCCAGCCCAGGGTGTCGGCCATTCCCAAGGCCCCGAGAACAGCAGACGCACGAACCTCCCTCAGGGGACTCTTGCAGAGCTCAGGCAGGAAGGCGGATGGCACACTGCAGGGCAAGGCCGGCTCCAGGCAAGCCCAGGATCCCATGCCATGGGGCCCAGTGGGACAAACTAGGGCACTAGGCCCAGGAGGCCAGGGAGGTGAGGCATGTCATGACCGGAGCCAGCTGGAGCTGTGGGTCAGACTAGATTGGATTTATTTAATGAAAACATTTATATCCCGTCCTTTCCGGTGGAGGTCCCTTCTGTTTTCATGTTTCTAAGTTGAGAGAGCCTTCTTCTACTCGTGGGCTTGCATGTTTTAGCACCAGGCCTCCCCAAAATCTTTGGGGGTCCAAGTGAACGCTACCTGCCAGTACTGCCCACTAAAACCCACAAAAGTCCAGCATCCTCCACCCATTTTGCAAGCCACAAGCCCAACTGGCTAGGCCGTCCAACATGGCTCAGCCCACCCCGCTTACCTTCCAAATGGCTTCCCTGATGTTGCTGACTTCAGTCATGTTTTCTGTTACATTCTTCCCAATTTGCACCTGCTTGTATTCGGTCACGTACTGGAGGTGGGGACACAATGAGGAAAACACCGTGTCAGTTACGCTCAGAACAAAGGGTGTTTCTCGGAGTCTCTGGGTGTCTCAGGTGCAGATACAAAAACTGCAACGGGTTTCTTGCCCCCACCTGCCTGTTCAGAAACCGGCTTGCTGCTGGGGAGCAACAGGGCAGAAAGGCGAACAAGGCACATCATTCCAATCCAGACAACATCTGTCCCGGGCCTCTGAATGCCCAAGTAGAGGCGGCACGTCCTTTATGGTCAGCAGAGCGCTGGCATAGGGGCACTCTTGCTTATTCTGGGGACAGCTGTGTCCTGGGGTGTTCTCCCAACAGAATGGCTGAGTGTGTGGGTGTGTTCACATACACACCCCTACCTTTCCCCCCTTGCAAGGAAGAGACTGTTCCTTTGAACAAAGGGTGGCTGCTGTAGATTCTGGCTGCTTTGTCAAGTCAGGCTTGGGCCCAGCTGAGCTCAGGACTGCCAGTGCGGGGTGGCAGTGGCTCGTGGAGGCTTCGGTCCGCACTCCACTGCCCTGAGCCAAGGCCGCTCTGCGGGGAAAGCGGGGGCCACGCCACACGGACACGGCTCTTCTGGCCCTGGGAGCTGAAGATGTGCAGGCCACTGTGGGGCTCGGCTTTTGCTACCTGGGAGCTCACATGAGGGAAGGAGGGATGGCTAGGAGAGAAATTACCTGCAGACTATCGCAAAAAAGCTGTCTGTGTTGCACTGTTGATGGACAGAGCCATCCATGTCAAAAGCCTGATTATTCAAGCACTCCGTGTTCCAGCAGTCGCAGCTGGAAAGACGGCCTGCAATTTCAAAGCAGGTGGGTGCAACTCTCCTGCAACAGCAGCCTGTGTCTCTGCCCTGCTCTTGCCCCTTCCTCTCCCTCGGGATTTGCCTTTGTTACTTTAACAAGGTTATTAAAAATTAAGCCGAATTGGGCTTTGTTGTCCTGGACCTGCTGAGGTCCTGAAGAGGATTAACACCTCACAAGGAAGAGTTAATAAAGAAAACACAGGGAAACATTAACAGCAGCAGGGTGTGACTTTGCAGACAGAGATTAGAGGCCCTTAAAAAAAATGTCGGCAGTTTCATGAGCTTTTGGTTAGGATAAGTAGCAAATGGCTGCTACCTGTAAAAAAGCCAACTGCATCATCTTTGGTTTGGTGTTTTTTGTCTCCTCCTCAAGCATCACACAGGGCGGGGGGACCAGCTTTCCCAGTGCGAGGGCCAGCATCTCCAGTTAGAACTATCTTGACAGGACTGGGAAACCTGGAGCAGACACCAGGCCAGGCTTGCCCTCAGCCGGCTCCACACAGCCCCCTGTGGATGCCCCTTGAAAAGGTGCAGATGCCTCGGCACCCTCGAGATCTGGTGGATGGCAACTCCAGGATTCCTGCCCATTGGTTCTGTGGGCTGGGGAAGATGGGAGCTGAAGTCCCAAGCATCCAAAGGGCAACGGAAGCCTGCTGTAAGAAAAGGTTTTCAATTTCCAAAGGAAAGGTATGCTCCAGCAGCTACTGTGGTCCAAGTGACAGCTACCTGGGAAATGAGCTGCAGAGCCAGTTCATAGCCTACAGGAATATCTGCTCCGATTTCCTCCTTCCCTTCTGGAGTAAATCCCTCCCAGCCAACCCCCCCCCCCCCCCCCCCTTCCCCCCCCCCCCCCCCCCCCCTCCTTGGAGAATCCAGCCTGCGAAGAGCTCCAGATACTGAAGCGCAACCCAATTCCACTCCTCAAAGGGGACAAATTCCTTCGTTAGCAACTCACCGAGCGAAAGGTGGCCGACACCAGGTTGGAGGGGAAGATGTTCCTGTTGGAGAATAAGGACAAAAATGTTCAGAACAGGCCTCCAGAGGAGCAATCGCTCTTCTTGCTCAGTGATGCCCATCTTCTCCAGACACCCACCCTCTCGCAGCCCAAGCCATCCTGCCCCTTCCTGCAATTTCAGCTGCAGGTGTTTGCTGCCTCTGCGCCCCCCACACGCCCAGGTAATAGCAGCAAGATGCTCACTCCACCCCCAGCAGGCAGGCAGGCAGGCAGGCAGGCAGGCAGGCAGGCAGGCAGGCAGGCAGCAACAGCAACCACAGGACATAAAGAACTAACAAACATGGAAGTCAAACTTTTAATTCCCGTCAGCCCCAGCCTTGGGGGACCACATTCCAGTGGAGGGCCTGGCATGCTTTTATGAAACTTGAGATTTTAGCCAAAGGAGAGACATCTCAGCCTTCCAGACTGGGGAGAGGCAGCACGCAAACACCATGGAACCAAAGGTTGGGGGGAAGGCAGTGGGCATGTCCTCAGGTGAAACCTGGGGGGCTGGCTTAGGACCCCAAGTGGGCTGAGTTTGGCCTACAGGCAGGCCTATGCCCAGGGACTTCCTGGCTCACAGCTTCCATTTCTAGCTTCTCTCTTAGTTCTTAAGAGAAGGGTCATCTCGGTGTGCGTGTCCCCAGGCTATCCGAGCCTTGGCCGAGAATAACCTGCTCCTCCGTTGCTCTAACTCCTGGAAAGATCAGATATCATGAACTTAACCTTTGCTCACTGGGGCCTTCCTCCGCCCTGATCCCCTTGTGCGCCCCCCCCCAACCTTGTCCAGTTCAGAGCATCCCTCTGCCAGGGGGCAGAACGGGCAGCACAAGCGAGATTAAACACTAATCCCTGGGTGTAGCCAGAGACCGTGTGGGTGATCATCCCCGCCAAGGCTGCCCAGACCTTTTTCCTCGGCCAGGCAGGCCGGAGGTACTGGCAGCCGCAGTCCAACAGACCCAAAGGCCACAGGGTTGCAGAATACTGCCCTGCAGAGCACCTCGGTATGTGGCCCGCATCCTGACAAACAGCTGCCCCGGGATGGAAGCCAAGAAGTCCAGCCAGGTGGGACCAGGACTCAGGGTCCACTGCGCTGCCCCCTCACCCATTTTCCCTCCATGGGCAACCATGTGTGTTCTGAGTGCCCGCTGCAGTTTGCACGCAGCCACTAAATAACCCACAGGAGTAGCCTATAGCTTTAAATACATGCTACATAATAAAATAAAATAAATAAAATGAACTTTCCTCACTGGAGGAAGACGATCATAGCAGGGAGAAAAATGGCTGAGCCAGAATTTTTCTTCAGGCTGGCGCTTCGTTTTACTTTAACATACAGGGAAGCATGCACATCCAGGTGCAAATGCTACGGTCTTCAGGACACCGCCACCTAATGCAGCCAGAATGCGCTTTTCCTTGCAGACACTTGCACTCCCATTCCCCACCCGGCCTCGCTTTATCGTGCCAGTTACAGTACTTTTCTATTTTCACACTGCACTTCACAACTCCGAGTGACACTTCTCTTTCACATGTAAGCCAGGTGTGCCCACACTCCCCGCTGCAGCGTTGGCAACAGCTGTGGGAGGACATGGGGCAGAGGCTGCATCCGGCCAGGTGCTGCTCCCAATTTAGAGACAGAGGAGTCCGGGAGCCCATGGGGGGAGAGTGGCATTAAGCGTCCGGTTACCGAAGCATCGCTTCAGCCAAAAGGAAGACTGGCGCACCCTGTGTGGAAAAAGGGGCGTTTTGAAGGCAGAAGAAGATGCGGGTTCTAGTAGCTGGGGGAAGATTTTTTCTTGAACTGGGATCTCTGCAGCTCGCTCAATGAGCTCAACAGGCAGAAGATTAATCCCAGCAGCTTCTCATCTCCTGGACCCATCAAGGGAGCCACCACCCTGGGCACCACAAGGGACTGTCTTCTTTTTCCACTGAGAAGGTCTGACCTGCAGGCGCATTTGCATACTTAAAAAGAAAGTTATGGCTGGTGTGCTAAATGCCGGCTCCACGGCTGCCCCATCCTTCTCCACAGGCCTACGGAGACTGCCTTGGCTCACCGATCCTCAGACAGAGTCTCTGGCCCAGCCATTTCTTGCACAAAGAACCCCACAAGCCGACACTCGATTTTTAACCCCATGTGGGATCTGTTTCTGTGCACTCACAAACCCGCAGGGAGAGCATGCCAGCTCCTGCCCCATCTACTTTTCTGTGGGTCAGGAGGTGTAGTGTAATATAAAGCAGCACACTCAGGACGCCAGAGCTCCAAATTCACAGCTTGGCCTCTGCCAGCCATGAACTCAAGGGGTTACTTTACGCAAGCACGTGTCCCTGTATCCCTCAGTAGGAATGCTGGGGGAGTAACGGCACTAACCGCTCTGCAGGACCGCTGATGAACTGTCTTGACTACTTATGCAAGACTCGCTGTTTATGAATGAGCCACCGACAAATGTCAGGTGAGCGACCGAGTTCCTCCAGTGCAGCAAACAGTTTGGCGATCGAAGGGCAGTTAAGCAGCTGCGCTCATTTCTTGCGGCAGAAGCTTGTGTGAACAGCTGAGGTACATACACACGATGGAAGGGTCAACCAAGCCCAGCACGGGGGGGGGGGGTTCGGGGGGGCGCAAAGGGGCATCCTCCCTCCAGACACAGCCCACCTGCCAGAGGTGCTGGACCAATGTCACAGTGCAAACCGTTCGGCAACGACCCAGCCAAACAGTGCAGCGCACTTCCTCTTTGTTGACAGCCGGAGGCAGAAAGCTCTCCAGTTCCTGCCACGCGGAGTCAACAAATCCGTTTGGCTGGCGGTCAAGAAACCTCCCATCCCTTTGAGCACAAACCATTTGCTCCCGGTTCCTCTTCCCTTCCCTTGCTCTTTCCCTTCCCTTTTCTCTTCCCCATTTTCTTCATTTGGGCAGGACTTGTACCTGTGCAACCCATCTGGCACCCCCTTGTCCTTCCTTTTTGCAGATTTCGTCGGGGCATCTCCTCCTGTGGCCCTGAGGAACTGCCTCAGAGGGCCTGAGCACCCTGGCTGAACAATTCCCTTCAGGGCACTCCCTCCTTTCAGGAGAATGCCTTCTGCAGCTCCAGGGGACTGCACTGGATTCCAAGGATTGTCCACTTCTGCTGCTCCAGGTGCATCATGGTTGCGCTCCTTGCTCCCAGTTTTGGCAACAAATACTCAAAGACCCACAGTAGGGGCTGCCCCATCTTCAGAACCAGCCAAAAGGTCACAAAATAGCAAGCGAGCTCTCCGGAGGACCTTTTTCAGTGCCCCCCCTCCCATGTGAAGCACGTTCCTCACCGAGGTCCAGACTTGGTGCCAACAGTCACCCTCTCCACACCCACAAAGGCCTTTCCTCTACTGGCACATTGGTTTTAAATTGTTTTCAAGTAAATGGTTCTTATCTTGCACACTTCCTGATTTGTGTGGGGGGGCAAAAGGGGTTTTATTTATTTATTTAAAATTTTTATATGCCGTCCCCTTGCTATATAGCCTCGGGATGGCTCACAGTTTTCAGAGTTCATGTTCCAGTGGAACATTTTTTTTTTCAGTTGTAAAATAATCCTCTCTCTCAGCCTAAGTCAACCCTTTCTGCTACCGCATGGACAGTCAAAAAAAGATGCCTGAAGGAAGCCTGTGAAACTCAATACCCAGAGCATGTTGCATCAGACGCTAAAGGGCCACCTCCTTCTTGAGACACCCAGAACGGGTTGGGCAAAGGAGGCGTTACGAAAAAGCAGATTCTGACACACGCCCCCGCGGCAGCACCCAGGTTCCACCACAAGCAGAATGGCCGAGGGAGCCAAAGCAATCCTCACTCGTCAGACCCTTCAAGACAGCTCCGTTCCCCCGCCCCGTCTCTTTTCCTTAGAAACATCAGATGTTTAAATGTCAGTTTTCCCAATGAGTCACATCCCATGCAGTCTTGACTGGAAATGCTCTGGAAGAGCGCATTACGAGTTAGCAAGTTGGAGGGATCTTGTGCCGGCGGGTGAACTCTCTGCTCAGGGGGGGAAGGCAGCATCACCCAAAGTCCAGGTGACTCTTTCCCAGGCACACAGGAGCTCTGCCCGCAGACTTTGGAGGGGGAAAGGAAAGATGGGGAGAATATTCTGCACATGTTATGTTAAACCACCACATGCGCTTCTCCCTGCTTTTCCAGACTTCTCACAATATCCTCAACACTTGGCTTACTACGTTCAAAAGAAAAAGGAAGGCAAAGTTTTAAAAGCCATGTGTAAAAGCCTCTGATCACACCTGTTCTTAAAATCTCTGGACTGCCAGTCAGTTCTCAAAAGACGCAGCATCCCACCACCCAAGGGATGTGCCCCCAGACTCCTGTCTATTCGATGACCCAGGCATTACGAATCAGGGCCCGATGGTGGGTTTTGAAATCGGCAAATAGTTCTAAGCCACTGTGGCATCGTGGTTAAGAGCATGGGACCGGGACTCAGGCAATCTGGGTTCTAGTTTCCACTCAGCCATGGAGCCAATTGGGCAGCTTTGGGCCAGTCACAGACTCTCAGCTCAACTCTACTATTCTATGACCTACCTCACAGGGCTGTTGTGGGGATAAAATTGAGAGCAGCAAGAGAATGATGTAAACTGCATTATATTCTCGGAAGGAAAAAGGTAGAATAGAACTGTAATAATAAAAAGTAAGCCCAAGAAGGGAAGGACTTCAGCGGTGGTGACTTGTCCAGGCAAATCATCCACTCTGGTTTGCTTCTGCCTCTGAAGCAAAATAGGAGACCTGCTTCCCATGCTGGAGTGGGCCTGGCTGGCTGAGCGGAGCTACTGCTTGAGGAGCTGGGGGGTGCAAGGAAGCCCGGCTCTGTGGTGGTGCTGACATCTCTGGATAAGGCTGGGAAGGATTTCTTCCCGGTAGGAAAATGGTGGGACTTAGCATCAAGGTGGGTTACTAAGCCGTGGCTTCCCTGTCTGGTTTGAATGGATGCAACACAACACAGTCTTGCAAAAGGAGAAGAGACAGACACGATTTGGCTTTTCCCCACTTGTTTCGACATCCAGGAGGAGGCCCTGCCTTTCCACCCCTCCAGACACCTTCTCTCCATCTAGGAGGCTCCTCCGCTTTCTACTGTAGAGACCAAAGTCAGCCTCCAACATCAGCACTGACTCCTTGCTCCATTCACAATAGCTTAATTCAGAAGTTCTGCACAGTACCCTGGATTTTGGCAGGTCATGGGGAAAAACTGTGCTCATGTTTCCCCACCAATAAACCAAACTCCTACATCGAGACAGACTCAGAAAATACTGGTTTTCTTGCTTACAGATGTGCCCAGGGCTGCCCCGCACAGCATCGAGAATGTCATCTGTGCTTCACTGGGACAAAGGTCTGACTCTCCTGGAGCACCAATTTACTGAAAATGCATCAGTGAGATATACATAATTATAGTTTACTACCAGCTTAGACCAGATGTCCAAGCCAGGCCAAAGTAACCTCACGTAAAGAAGACTCACCAACTGATTCTCTAGACATGCAGCGTTCCAGCCAGGGAGAGGACCTCCCAGTACAGAAATTGACCGAATCCTGCAAACACTAGTTCTCTTTTTCTGGGCTAAGGAGCAAGAGCAGGAATCCGCTGGGTTGATGCATAAACCCAACGATGGCCAATATAATAATTGAAATTGTGCGGCATCTCCTGGCTTAAGCACATTCAGATGTCTGGCTGCAGGCAGGCAGGCCAGGATCATACCCTCTGTACGAGCATCGCTGTCCTGGTCCAACTAGGAGAAGGCAGAATGGTTACCTGGATGGCTGTGCCTTTAAGGTCCCATGAAACGGCAAGGCAACGTTTTTTGTCAAGGCTGATACTTAAGCACAGGTTAGAGCTCAGAAGTTTAGAACAGGAAAAGCAGAGAGATGTAAATCATTCAGATGGATGTTTTTGCGCTCACAAAAGGGAGCTGAGAAGCCATCCTGCAAGCAGAGAATCTGAATCCATGACATACATGAACTCTGGACAAACAGTTGGCTCAAAAGGACCAGGAAATGCAGAAGCAGGCAGTCTTAAAGTTACAAATCCCCACTTAGAGCAAGGGAAATGGCATGACATAAATGCCAGTTGCACCCGCTGCACCAAACTATAACAGAGATCTTGTCACAGATCCAGGAGCATGTGTCTGGGCAAAGGGAGAGGGGAGGCCTGGTCACTGCAGCCTCCTTCAGAGCCCTCCATCAAAGCACTCCTTGCCTAGAGGAGTCCCCAGGTTCCAAAGGGAAGGGAAAAAAGACTGGAATAGCTCCACAGCTTATCGTCTCTCTCCCAAATGACCAATTCATGCATTGTGTCTGTACTGCACATTGTATTCTTTCCAGCTTGTGGGTCACACTGGGGGCAGGGTTCTCTGCCCATGCCCAGAGGCATTCTCCAACCTGTCCACAAAATGCAAGCAACTTCATTTCCAGCATGACGAGGGATGCTCCAGTATTTACAACATCCAAATGGGCCGGACTGCAACTCCCACCGTTTCTGGTCAGCAGGAACAATGGGAATTCGGCCATCAGCCCTGCTAGCCTCAGTCATGGGTGCTACAGTCCAAACACCCAGAAAGTACAAGGCTGGGGAAGATGGCTTACATCGCAGCACTTGGGAGAAATAAGCTGGGCATAGACAGAGCTGCCTTCCTGCCGGGCATGTGACGATCCCAAGGGTGCTCGCTGAAAGAATTCTCTTTCCTCGCAGGCACTCCTGAAGCAGCATAAGACGCCAGACACAAGCTTAATCCCCAAACATTCCCTCTTCTCCCTCTTCATGTTTTGAGATCGTCTCTGACACCCCTCTAAATGCTTCGTCAGGAGGAAGGATGTCCTATTTCAGCAAATGCCAGGAAAGGACAGCCCAAGGAGCTCGCCATTGCCCCAGAACATTCTGTTCCACCATCAGTGGTGGAAAAGTAATATTTCGTAACAGACTAGCCGGCTTTTTTAGGTAGGGTGTTGAAACATTTAGACCTTTTTTGAGCAGAAAAGAAGGCATTCCCAATTCGTTTTACATACTGAGAAACACGATCCACCTCTGATGATTATATTCCAGCTCATGAAAGTGCATGCGCATGTTGTGTAATGCAGGGGGGGGAGGAGGTGAGGAGGGAAGATGGAAAGGAATAAACAGATCTGAGAAAATATGACTCAGGAAAGGGCTGTTTGTCCACAAACAGCCCTTGCACCCCAAAGACCAGATCAGCCTTTCCCAGTCTGTAGCCTCTGGACATGTGGAACTCTTGGCTTCTAACAAGTTGGCCAGGGATGATGGGAGCTGTAGTTCTACAAAGAACAAGATCTCACACAGTTTTGGGTCCCTATCCCATCTAACATGTAGTTCAACCAGCCTCACAGTCATGGCGGTTAAAACATTCAAGCGTAATTAAACCACAGTTTTTAATCCCAACCCACAAGTTAATACCTGAAGGAACTCAATGGCACACACTAGGTTTAATTTGTAAGTTTTGAGTGTCTTAAATAAAAGTTAGTGTTCCAAATGTACCTAGGACACATTTTCTGTAGCACTCACACATGCAAGTTGGCCCTTTGCACTCATTCACTGACCTCAATAGCATATATGATTTATTGATTTCCCACCTTTTTATGTTTCAAGAAACTCAAGGCAGCTCACGTAATTCTCTTCCTCCTCTCAAGCTTATCCTCATAACAACCCTGTGAGGTACATTGGGCCAAGAGTCAGTGACTGACCCAGGATCACCCACTGAGCTCCATGGGTGAGTGAGGACTAGAACCCAGATCTCCTGAGTCCTAATCCTGTGCTCTGAACCTCCCATGGAAAAACACTATTCATGGAGTGGGCACTAACCCACCTCCATTTTGGATCATATTCAGACTTTGGCCTGCTGAAATCTATGCACCCACTGTTAAATCTCTCTAATCTGGTTCCAAGCCTGTACCTCTGATGAGAAACTTGCAAAAGCTTGTTCACACAGAGATGTACCTCTGACACGTGGCTGAGTGACAAAAAGCACGTGTGAACTTGCCTTCACAGCCAGCGTGCCTGAGATGGAGCTCGGGTGTCCGGAAGATTCACCCTCTAGCAGATGTGAGCTCCACACGGCTCTGAGGAAAGGCAACTAATTTAAACAGCTGGAACAGGGCTCTCCATCCCAGCTGTTCTGTTCCTCTGAGGATGCACCTAGCACTTCCATATGGATTTAGCAAGAGTGCCTCTGAGCACATGACGCCCCTGGGAACAAAAGGACAGTGCAGCTGCTCACCTGATGAGGTCGAGGAAGGAATCGACCACCTCCTTGGGCTCGGGCACGCCTGCGTCCCCCACGTGGAAGCTGGGGGGGTGGGCGCTCACGCCGGGCTTGATGATGAAGCCCAGGGCCACGCCGATGGACGACGCCAGCAAGGTGGTGACGAAGAAGAAGAGCATGGCCCAGCCGCCCAGGCGCCCCAGCGCGGCCGGGTCCAGGCTGGCCGCGCCGGCCACCAGGCTGCAGACCACCAGCGGCAGGATGATCATCTTCAGCAGGCGCAGCAGCAGCTCGCCCGGGAAGGAGAGGAGCAGGATGTCCGTCGGGCTCAGGCGCCTGGGCAGCTGCCGCACGGCCAGCCCCACCGCCACGCCGGCCACCACGCCGGCCACCGTCAGCAGCACCAGCAGGTTGGCCCGCAGGCAGCCCCGCAGCCGGCGGGCCCGGGCTCGGGCCCCGGGGGGGCCCCGCTTCCCCCGGGGGCAGCTCGATCGCCACGTGATGCAGGCCGAGGGCCCCGTTGGAGGCGCCTTTGTCCGCACAGGCCGGGTAGTTCTCCGCCGTCATGGTCGCCAGGGGGCAAGCCGAGCGGCGGGCGGGCGGCGAGGCAGCCGGGGCGGGGGGGGACTTTACTTTCTGAGCCTCAAGGACCCTCCCTCCCGAATTACAGGCAGTCTGCACTGGGAGGGGCTTCCAAAGCAGAGGGCGAGCCACCCGAAAGTATATTGAGAAAAGCCGCCCAGAAAGCAAACCAAGGGGCCTTCGAGCCCCACTCCCTCCGAAAGGGCGCGGCGGAGAGCGCGGCGCGGCGCGGCGCGGCGGGAAGCGCGAACAGCGGCGCAGCAGTGCTGAAAAGGCAACTCCACGTCTTCCGCCCGACGGAGCGGCGCTGCAGGCTCGACCGCCACGGGGCTCTCTCGGGCCCGGCTTCTTCTCGGGGCGGCGGTCGGCCGAGCTCCCACGTGGCGCCCACAACGCTTCCTGGAGGCTTCGCCGCGGCCACGCGGGCTGTGCTGGGCCGCCCCACGCGCGGTCTCTTTTGAGGCGAGGAGGACTCTGCGATTGGCTGAGGGGACGGCGGACGTCACCGGCGAAAGCCTAGAGAAGAGGCGGGCTGCGGCAACGTCATCCTGGCGGGGGGAGGTGAGGGAAGGCGCGCGGCGCGGCGCGAGGGGCGCCTCGATTTTCCCGCCCAAACGGGGCGCCTGGCCTCGCCTCGCCTCAGAGCGCGGCCGGGGGAGTCGCCTCAGCGAAGAAGGCGCGGGTGGCCGGCGGGGTCTCGCCCGCACGCCCCCCGGACACGAACCCTGCGCCTGCCGGCTCCCCCTGTTCCGGACGGCTGGCCGGCCGGCTTCCTTCTGCCTGAACAGGCGGGGGGTCGGGTCCTCAGGGCGCAAGCCTGTGGAGATTGCGTGGAGCCGCTGGAAATGGTGGCTAATCCAGGGCAGGGCCGGAGAGGCGGCCAGAAGGAGGCTGGAGTGGCCCCTTTGGTGTGCTCCCCTCCCCTGGACCACCCCCTTCCCTCAGAAACTGGGCAGCCCTCTGAGTGGGAGGGTATGAATGGGTGTCCTGCAACAGCAGCGGGTTAGACTGGATGGCCTTCATGGCCCCTTCCAACTCTTCTATGATTCCCCCCCCCCGTCTCACTTTTCTCAGAGGGCCACTGGCACTGCTCTTTCTGAACAGGAGGATGATGGGTGCTTCAATCACCAGCTCTGATGTTGGAGGACCCACAAAGAGAAGAAAATGGAGAATTGTGATTCAGCAGTGGTGACTTGCAAAATATGCAGGATGTTTGCTTTCTCTCTCAAGATAACTTGGTGTATATTAGCAGCAAGTGCAAGCAGGTTGCATAATTAGAAGCAAAGTTAAGAGGTCTGGAATGGCAAATGCCTCACCTGAATGTAGAGAAGATGAGCAAATCTTGGACTGAAAACAGGAGACCAAGAATAACTGCCTGGGGCCACTCAGAGCAGGAAGAACAACCCCTATGGACAGCTGACACTCTGCAGCAGGAGTTTCAGAAGGCCTCTGGTAGTGCTTTGAAGGTCATGTGGAAGAAAGCAGTTCTGAGCCTTCAGGATAAGATCTACAGCAGACTAAACAGTGGAGGACACAAAATGTGGAACAGAATGGAACTACTCTCTGCAGCAAGAGCTGGAGAAGAGCAGCCATAGTTGGTGATCTGCAAGCAGGAGAAGAGGATGTGTGCCAACCAGGCCCATTGGCCTGAGATTGCATTTTTGGAGCATGGATTGGCAATGAGGCAGAACAACCGTCAACCTCATCAAGTCCATCAATTATCATTTCCTCTGCTTATTCATCTGAGAGTGAACAACTGCCAAGCACAGCTACGACTGCATCCTGTTGGACTATGGCACTCTAGAAAGGAGGCTTAAAACCTTTAGGTTAAGGGAGAAGCTGGACTACTTGTTAAAATGTGCATAGTTGCACATAAATTCAGGAGAATAAATTTGGTAGCCCCAGTGAAAGTATCCACAGTGAAATAAATGGAGGAAGACACAATCAAAAATAAATCAATGGCAGACAACAGAAGAAGCAAATCTATCTATACAAAAAGTATAGATGATCAATGGCAATGATGGGAAAATGCAAAAGGACATACAGGTGAATAAAAGGTGGGGCAGGTCACTAAGGAAGTGTACAGTCAGATAACCCAGTATTGCAGAAATGGTGGCAGGAAAGCTAAAACTTAGAATGAGCTGAGGTCCATGAAGGATGCTGAGGAGAACAAACACCTTCAGATGTGAGGACAAGATTCATTACACCAGCTACTCAGCCAAGATGGCAAAATGCTGACAAGTGATAAGGAAAAGGCAAAACTGCTCAACTCCTATTTTGATTCAGGCATCTCAAAAGAGAATCCATGTCTATTCTAGCTTATGTGAAAGGCTTAAGCACAGCTTGAGGTGGACAAAGGGATAGTAAATGACTGAGTTCAAGCTCCCAGGTCCAGATAAATTGCATCCAAGGGTGGCGAAGCAGCTAGTGGACGGACTCTTCGAACCTTATCATCTTTGAGAAATCCTGGGGAAAAGAAGGACTGCAGGAGAGTGAATATTGCCCATCTCTTCAAAAGGAGCAAAAAGGAAGATTAGGAAATTATATACCATCATTGGAAGTCAGTGTGTGTTTGTCAAGAACAACCCTTGCCTTTCTAGGCTACAGTGATGGAAGAAAGCTTGAGGATGGAGGGAGAGGAGAGAAAACCAGGAATGGACTTTTGTGTGACTAGACCATGAGCTCAGTTCTGGTAGTGAGAGCAAATTCCTGTGCTGAGCATGTATTCTGAGTTTCTTGTTCTTTAGTTCTAAACTTCTGTTCCCACCTGACCATTTTTGCACCTGGCTCCAGTTGGTGAACTTCGAGGTTCTAGCAGGGGAGAACATAATAGATCACACAAGTCTGAAGCCTGCCCAATATTGATTTGAGGAAGCTAGAGACGTTTAGGTAGTGGAGGGTAGATGCCAGGTAAGCACTGCACCACAGCAACCTTTTACCTACAGACCTTGTTGCAACTTCCCTCCAACAATGAAAGGAGGGTGGTCTTAAGAACATGGAAACGTACCATACCCTGAATCAGATCTTTGGTGATCTGGCCCATGTCTTTCAAGACCAACTGGCAGCAGTGGCTTTTCGAAGCTGTGGGAGTCAACCCTACCTCGAGATGCCAGAGACTGAATCTGGGACCTTCTACATGCAAGTCAATTGCTCTGCCACTGAGCTACTCCCACGGCAAGGACCTTTATGGCTCACTCACAGCACTAGCAGCAACAACCAAAAGCTCCTGATTGGAGTTCTGATCGCCTTGACCCTGCCATAAGAATAGAAATCCCAGCAGTTAAAACAATGCATTACCTTTCTGTTGCATGGATTCCCCTGCCCCCATCAACACAGCAAGCTGTTGAGATGCCTTCCTGGATGGGAAATGTATAGCTCTAGAGAGAGAGACAAGTCCAAAGGTTTAGCATTGGTTGCCATGGAGATCTACCTACATCAGAAGCAGATATCCAAAGAATGACTTATCTGTTACCTGAAAGTGAGCTCAATTTTCTGTCCTGACACACAATGCAAACAAGGAGACAATAAAACTGTGTAATGACAGGTGAGACCCCCCTAGGCAGTTTTTTTAGAGTAGTGAGCATACAAGAAACAACACATGAAAAGTTGTTATGGAAAATCAGTTGCTATCTTCACTCAAAGCAAAATGTGTTGTGCTGGGCAGGCATAAGGAAGAAGGCATTGTTACACAAAGCAGACATAATTCATGGTATTCATCTCCACAAAACAGCAATGACTGCTGCCTGGGATGACTGTAAAGCAGGATTCAGCAAATGTATGAAGAACAAGCCTAGATAGTTAAAGGGATAACTAAATGGATTCTCCATGGATTCTCTGAGCACCAGGTGGTGGGAACAAATATTCCCAACTTGTAAGCATCCCAGAGGCATGACCACTAGCAGGAACCATGTGCTGTTCCAAATGCACCTTTGGTCTGATACAAGGCAACTCTGTTGCTGTTCTTTGCTGATTAAATCGGAAAGCAGCACAGCTTGCTTAGAACTCTTTATTTCTATGTAGGCACGAAAACCTTTTGTTGGAAGGTTCAGGCTAGAACACATACCTGTAAGTAGATCTAATTTTTAGTAAATATCTAATTCTACTACTGCCTGGCACTCAGTTTCTTGCCCAGGTGACATGTCTCTCAGCCTCAGGAGTATGCTTTCTGTGCAATGAGTGTTGCATGGAAAAGTGTGGGTCTGAGATGCTGGTTTTGTGTTTGAAGCACACGCCCTACCTCTGCCTTGTACTGAGTTTTTTCAGCTCTTTTCAATGTAATAATTTGCCTTCTGTTCACAAAAGCTGAGCAGGACTGCCAAGAAAAGAATGTTTTTGGGGGAGGGAGGCATTGATTCAAAGCCCTGCCATATTTTGTGAGTGGCCATGCACCATGTGACAACCATTTTGTGAATAGGCAAGCCTCTACACGGCAGCCATTTTGTAAAGGCACCCAGAGCACTCCATTCCAAATGCTTGCAGCGACCAGAAAAGGCAGGAAATTCTTGCTTTAGAGAAAGATTCCGGTTCTCTTGGGTAGGGTTCTCCAGACTTTTTCCCTTCCAGCACCAATGGGATACTATTAATTGAATCCACTGACAATTAGTCTATGTCTGTGTCAGATGTTTGATCTGGAATGATTAATTCACGTATCCTATTTGAAGTTCCACTCATTGAAAGATAAGCCTGCTTGCATGAACCTGACCTGCTTCTCCAATTTGAAAGCTCCTACTTAGGTAAGTGATTGGAGGAAAGCCTTCCACAAATCTTTTCTGGAGTTTTCCTTATTTCACCTCTCTTTTCCACAGGAGTTTCTACCACATTTTCCTGAAGAAATAGCCATTAGACGCTATGATTTCTGCTTTCTCAGCAGTATGAACAAATGAGGTGTTTAGTCAGAATGCCACCTCCTGACAGGACGCCAAAATTAATCCCAGAATGAAAAGGGGCTGGCTGGTCTTTCTGGACAAAGGAATGCCAACAGGTTGGCCTTCTGATGTACTATTAATGGGGGAAATGCTCATTAATTAAAACATGAAGAGCTGTGCCAGGTAGATGTGCTCCAGGCACGTAGCTTTTGCAGAGTGGCCTCTTCTGTCCTCCAGGCTCAGTTAAACGCACTGTCACATGAGTCCCTGGACCATGTGAGTTCTGCTCTTGAAATTAGACATTGGAAAGTTGAATTGGCAAACCTACTCTCATTAAGAGATGCTTCCAGCTTAGCAGTGATGTCTTTATTCTCCAGGAATCTCCAGCAGGGCCTCTTCTGAACTTGTAAATAAGCCTTTTAAAATATATTTTTATTCACTGAAGAGAGGCCACAGACTTGGTACCAGCTGGGTTTTCCATTGCCTTAATTCTTTCAGGCAGAGGCAGTCAACTTCTCAGGGTCCCCTTTGCTCTTCAGACCATAGTCCTTGGGGCTCAAGTGCACATTACCACCCAAGATGACCTCAAAAATGGTCAAAAGCTCTTGTCAAATTATGTGGCGCTCTTGCCTCCACATAATTGAGCCCTGTATCGCAGACTTGCACTTGCGTCTCAAGGATATGCTTATTGACCTAGCAGAGACGAAATGCCAGGTCCAGGGTGTAGCCAAAGGCACCCAATGTAGCAACTGCCTGGGAGTCCTGTCCTGCTCCAGGACGCCTCCTTTACAATTTCCTAGTTGGAGGAGACCCTCTCAAGTGGCTTTTTGCTACCTGTGTCACCTGTCTTGGCTGCGGCTAGGAAAGAGAGGCCATGATGGCAATCTTGCTATAAAGAAGCAGGACAAGATCAGGTCAGAACCTAGCTAAGAGACCCTGGAATTCTCCCATGGAAGAAAAACTTGCATATTAAAACAGCAACAAAACCAGAGTGCATCCACCTTTAAATTAGACAGTGCACCCCAGATGTTCTGGAAATGTAAAGATGCTTTGTTGGGAGATATTTGAAAGCTAAGCAGAAAGGGAAGCCCGTCACGGAGAGGTATCTTTGGGATATCTTCTTCCTGGCCTGCAGTTAGCCTTGTCAAATAATTCTGTCGAGGCATGAATGTCAGGAACTCCAAAAAGGCCTACACTTGCCTAATTGCCCACATTCTCACAATAATTACACAATAACTTCACAATTGCCAGCTTTGCCCTAGCTCCAGGGACCAAAAAAGAAAAAAAACCTACATAAAGCAAGAAAAAATTGGCTTAATTATTCCTCATTTTAAAAGAGAAGGGGAAAATACACCCAAGCCACGTGACAGTAGTAATAACACTCCTTCCTGCTGGGACACATCTTCTTTTGCAGCAGCTGATGTTTGTGCCCCCTGGCTTTGTGCCTTTGCAATGCGCTGGCACTGAAAGACTCCCTTGTCTCAGGGCTAGGGAGAAAAAAATGAAATCCCAACCATGCCCTTTAATCACCAGCTCAACTGTACGTTTCCGCCATCACCATCATATTAAGCTATTAAGCCAGAGCACAGCCCAAAGGCCTGGCTTTGCAAGATCCTTCTTGAAAAAACCCACAGGCATGGGAGCTTCTCTATCACGTGAGAACTTCTGTCCCATCATGTCAGGTTTGCTAAGCTGTGGCTTGTATGCCTCTAAGCAGTGGGCCTGAGGGAACATGATGATCTCCAAGGTGCATATTAATCTCTGAAGGGCATCGGACCAAATCTTACAGAACTTAACTGGGCAATCCTAGGCATGGTCATTGCAGAGCACTGTGGAGTGGGCTTATTTCCGATATATAGACAAAGAATCACTCTGTAAGGTGCTCTGACTGGGGACCAGCCCCAGAAAATGTGGAAGGAGTGCTTCCAGGCATGTTCTCCTGACGCTCTTGCCCCACTAGAAATGGACCATTTGTTTGCCCTACAGACTCTGGGATTCAGGAGCATCTGCAGTGGTGAATGGCATGACGAGGCCATTGCCTGAACTTCGTAGCTAAGGCTCATGTACATGTGCAAGGCAGGGAGAGCACCTGTGAAGCCACCAGGTTGTTGGATGTCATCTATTTACTCCAGCCGGCATAGCCAATGGTCAGGGATGATAGGAGTTGCAATCTACAACATCCAGAGGAACCCAGGAGCTCCACCTGCTCCAAACCTGTTGGAGGGGAATGATGGAAACTGTTGTACAACACATCTGGAGAGCACCAGTTTGGGGAAGCTGGGCAAAGGAGGACTTCCCTGCTTAACATCATCTCTCAACTGACCAAGAAGTTCATATCATCACAGTTCCTACTGTGTGAACAGGGAGGAGAGGGGGCATCTTGCTGGAACTTACCTTGTTGCATTCCACCAAAAAAATGACCTCCCTCTGAAAAGCTCCATGCTCATTTTCCTGAGGGGAAAATATACATGTTGAAGATCAGCTGCCTTGACCTATTAATTGCACTCAGCTAGGGAGAAGGTCCATTGCCTCACCAGTGACCTTTTGCTCAGACGCCTTGTAGAAGTGTGGCTGTTTGGTCTTTGTGTTTGACTTTAGATTCAAACTGCAGAGAAGATAGCCATGACCTTGATCCTGTTCTCTGTCAAGCCCTGCTTGCCACTACACACAAATTTATCTTTCAGATAAGTGGCGGGGGGTCAGTCCTGGTTTAGGCTTCCAGTCTCGACTGGCACTGCCACTCATATACCTCCCTCTGTGTGCTCTGAAGGATGGCTTTGTACACTGTACATTTTCTTGCCATGCCACTCTGAGTGAATCATTGCAGTGCATGGTCCAGACCAGTCATATCACAGCGCAGTTCTATGCTCAGAAGTAAGTCTCATCATGTTCATTCCACTCCTTATGTTCTCTCCTAGGAATGCACAAGGATTATGGCCATACTGCATTTTTATCCCACCATTCCTTCAAGGTCAAGGTAGGTACAGACTGGGCCTTGGTATTAGAGTACAGAACCGGAAACCACTTGGAACCAGGTTACCTCCCGATATCAGCAACAGATTAAAATGAGCCTAGATTTCTGTAAATCTGGCTTGCATGTTCCTGAACTGAATTGCTTGTTCCAAGTCCCAGAGATGTGCCAACCAGTTTTTCACCAGGGGAGAGGGGCTTTAAACTA